GTGTGGCGCCATGAGATAACGGACACCTTGGGGTGGAAGTGCTCTTTCAGCAGCTTCTTCAGGTCTGCGTAGCGTACAGACTCTACTGGAACAGGTGCTACAAGATTTTCTGCGATTTCGAAGGCGTCTTGGCCGCAAACGCAAAGCAGGGTGGCCGCCTTCAAGCTATCTTCCCTCACTTGGTTTTCTTGAAGTAGTTCTCCATTCTGGATACGTAGGACTCCCACCGCTCTGGATGTGAGACGTCGAATTCCGAAAGCCTTCCGATTTTCGCCATCTTCGGATCTTCAGGAGACGGGTCTATCAGCCAGCCTACCCCCGAATGCGCACCGGATTGGCGGGTAGCTGCCGAGTCGACGCCGTTCCTCTTCCGCCGCTCAGGACTCCTCGGGTAAGCTTACACTTCTTCCTTTCCAGGTAGTGCAAGGCATCCCACCCTCGTCGCCAGTGTTGCGTCCTTGGCGGGAAAACAGACACGAGAAGCAGCTGGAGTTCTCAGTTTCTTTTATTCAGCGTTCAGCTTACAGGAAGATGGCTTCAGCCTCGCCCAAACGCCTCGCAGCCTCTTATATAGGCAACTCCCGGGTAAATGGGTTACTTTTCCCGCGCCAGCACCCGCGCATGCGCACGGCGCTGGCGACAGCCTGTCTGGTCCCGGGCAGCTTTGCACCTGCCCGGGACTGCCTGCAAACGTCCGAGCCGTTTGCAAAGGCTCGGGACATAACATTACTAATTTAAGAACTGCAGTGATTCACTTAACAACTGTGGTAAGAAAAGTCATAAAATGGAGTAAAACTCACTTAACGAATTTCTCATTTAGCAACATAAATTTTGGGCTCAATTAAGGTCGTAAGTCAAGGACTACCTGTACAGATGTGCTCCATTGTAGGGATGGTATCAGGGAAGGCTCTTCCTATTGTCCTTCTCATTGTGTAAATCCACCTCATTCTGCATAATAATAGGGATAAAAATAATTGCATAAAATAATGACAATACAAATCCATATTTACATAAATATACTTCTGGATTATTTTAGCTAGGCAAGTATATCCCATTATAGAGAATTTTTAGCATACATCTAGATTTGTATAAAAAGCTAAGAATTTCCCAAGCACAGTTCAAATAAGGAAAGTGGGAAATTATCTTGTCAGATATAAAGCAATTAGATTCCCTTATCAACTTTATAGCAACGGATTTATTTATAAAATAAATAAGATGTTACTATGTATAGATGTTTAAACATGAAAGAACATTTTTCATGCTCTTGTTCTTTGCATGGGAGAGAATGATGCAATCACTAATGAGTATTTCATGCTATTTCTTTTCCAGAGTGCAAAAGCATAAGATCTTGATAATTTGGGCCAATAAAGTCAACATTCCCAGGAATGGTTTCATATACAGCTGTGGTGCCTTCTTGATACTGCCAGGATGACCAGCTGCTGTAGTGTGCCATTCCAGCAGAAATGATATAGCCAACTTGACATTTCCCAAGGATATGTGTGGAGTTTCCTACTTAAGCAGCTGATTGATTCCCCAATTTCACTAGGAACAAATCAAGCTAGCGATGATGTTAAAGTTACATGTAACTATAAAGCTTCCAGCTAAGCTCTCCCATTAGACAGAGGTCAATAGATTTCAGAGAGTGATAGAAGAGAGCTATTTTTATGTCACATAGACTCTCCTGGATTTAAATAAAATGGGGGCACCTAATATATTCAACTTCTATCTGATCATTTTCTATACCTGAAATGGGATAGATGATATTCAGTACTTTGCTGCATTATTTTACATACAGGTAATCCTCGACTTATGACCACAATTGAGCCCAACATTTCTGTGGCTAAGCAAGACAATTGTTAAGTGAATTTTGCTCTATTTTATGACCTTTTTGCCACTGTAAAAAGTGAATTACTGTATTTAAGTGAATCACTGTAGTTGTTAAGTTATTAACATGGCTGTTAAGTGAATCTGGCTTCCCCATTGACTGTGCTTGTCAGAAGATGGCAAAAGGTGATCACATGATCCTGGGACACTGCAACCGTCATAAATTTGAGTCAATTGCTATGCATCTGAATTTTGATCACATGACCATGGGAATGCTGAATGGTCGTAAATGTGAAAAATCATCATATCGCTGTAACTTTGATAGGTCACTAAAGGAACTGCTGTAAGTCAAAGACTACCTATATTATTATATTTTCTTTTTTTTATAACAAATTTTATTGGTTTTTTTAACTTTTACAACAGAATGCTCAAGACACACCGTGGTGGTTAGGTGGTCAATTATCCAAAAACAAAATCATATAATAGCTCAAGTAAATCCATTAAATGTTCCCTCTCTATTTCCCTCAAATGATATAACCTATTTAACATAATCCATTTTTACATTACATATCTATAAATCCTAATCCTGTTTTGAGCTTTATTAATTTACAACTACCATAGTCCAATTTAACCTTAGATAAATGTATTATCACTTCAGGTATCCTTTTTAAAATACTAATCCAGATATATTCTAATTCATAATCTCATAAACTATTGATTTTATCACAGATCTTATTACTTCAAATAGCATTTAAATCTCATTCAAATAATTATCATATCTAAAAAAAAGAACACACCTATTACAGTATTACACAAAACATCGTCTTACTAACTTAACACACTCAATTAGTTGTTAAAGCTATCTGTATTTCTAAAAACCTCTTTCATATTCTTATTCTCATTCCATTACGAAATAATTTTGATACAAATATTATTCAAGAAAATACATTCTTACTCTGTTTAACATATATATTCTAATAATCACAAATTTTCAACTCTAAATCTTAATCCTTAAATCAGTCCATATTTCTCAAAACCTTTTTAATCCATTACATATAATTTTAAATTTCTCTTTTTAATCTTATTCTGGCTTTCTTCCTATGCCAAGAAGGCTTCCATAACAAAGCCTCTATTTCAGCAAATAGATCTCCCATTATTGCTTGTAATATCATTTGGGTCAGTAAAAGACCTCCCATCCTCTGTTTTTGACACCTGGTTCCTGTCTACTGGATAAAACACTCAATCATGTCCAATTTTATAATTAATAGTTGATTATCAAGGTTGTCATAATTCTCCAACAGTTGTAATTTCAAGTCCATTTCTGTTAGTTTTGCAATTGTAGATAGTTTAGTTACAATCATTTTTTGGTCATCCAAAGTCTCCATAGGTTGTATGTAAATTAATTCTTCTTCTGTTGCTTTTTGGTCTATAGAATGATCAAGTAGAGTCTGAAGGTCAGTTTGTAAATTCACAGTAAAATTTCTGTTTATTATTTTTGCAGTTCTCTCTCTTATTTGGGAACATATTTCCTCAGTAGCTTCATAAATTTTTTCCAGTATGAGTTTACAGTTGAGTTATGAGTATGATTTCTCCATTTCAATAGTAATACAAACAAAAAACAGTTACAATTAAATTTCTCCACAAGATGTCCTCAGTAAACTATGAAAGTCTCTCCCAGACATCAAGAATGAGATTAGCAAAGTCAGAGCTATGGAGTCTCTTTTCCGGCTTCTCATAGAGTTGTTGTTGTTTTTTTCAAACAATAAAGATTTATCCCTTTAAAAAAGTAAGTCCAAGACATAGGAAGACACTATTCTCCAGCTTAAAAGATATAATAATAAAGTTTTATGACAAGGATTTTTCCAGGGCCCCCAAGTAGCCAAAGTAAAAATAGTCAATAAGAAGTTTTTTCCTTTGTTTTGGAAAGCTCTTTTCCCCAGATAAACAAAGGCAGCTTTTTCAAAGCAGGAAAGAAATTCCAAAAGGGTTTTGACAGGAGATAGTTAGGCAGAAGGAGAAAGGGAAAAATCCCACCAGGATCATCCACGATGGTTTCTTAATGCTTAGATGTTCTTTTGACTTTCAGCTGGAGCAGCTAAATAATCGGCCATGTTACTGGCCGATCTTTCTCTCCGTCAGCCCTGAGGAGCTGCCTCAGACCGCGAAAGGAGCTGCCTCCTCCCCCTGCAATCAATGAGAGTCCTCCTCATCGGTAGTCACTCCTCCAGGGTGACTTTTCGACCCGATTAAGGGTCTACTGGCAGATGAAATGCAGGTAACGAAGAGAAAGAGTCTCTTCGTGTGCCTATAGCCACTGCAACCCAAACTGGAAGTCCTATATTATTATATTTTCAATTGTTCCAATACTTCAATCAATCAATCAATCAATCAATCAGAATAGAGCTGGAAGGGACCTTGGAGATCTTCTAGTCTAACCCCTTCTCAAGCAGGAGACCCTATACTATTTCAGACAGGTTGCTGCCCAGTCTTTTCATAAAAAACCTCCAATGATGGAGCTCCTACAACTTCTGAAGGCAAGCTGTTCCACTGGTTAATTTTCCTTATTGTTAGGAAGTTTCTCCTTAATTCCTGGTTGCTTCTCTCCTGGATTAGTTTCCATCCATTCTTTCTCGTCTTGTTTTCTGGTGCTTTGGAAAATAAGTGGATCCCCTCTCCTTTGGGTCAGCTTCTAAAATACTGAAATACTGCTATCATGTCACCCCTAGTTCTTCTTTTCTCTAGACTGGCCATACCCAATTCTTGCAACCCTTCTTCATATGTTTTTGTCTCCAGGCCCTTAATCATTTTACTTGATCATTTTCCCCCTACTTTTTCTTTCTCAACTACTGGCTTCAATTCTGGGGGGAAAATAGAAGAATTATAAGACAAATAACTATAAAAGTAAATTTATATAATGGTCCAACATAAAGTAGAATACCTTACTTAAAATACTTTCATATTTTAAAATCTGATTAAAATCAAACACAAGCACATAACCATCCTAATCAAGCATGTATGCTAAGGAGTTTCTCAGCTGGCTGCTGAGAGGGTGGATGGCTTCACTTCAGCAAGTTGTTGGCTTCATTTCTATTTGCAAACAAAGCTTCACTGAAGTGGCACTAAAAGGAAAAGAAAGGGCAGTTAGGGAACAAGCTGCATAAAGAAGAGAGCCATTCTATCATCAGGGAAAAAGAGAGATGTGTGTTTTGAGGATTCTAACACTTCAGCTGAACTGATAGAAAGATATTATTTTGAAAGGTTCCTAGAAATTATTTTACTTCATTTTACTTAACATCTTTAGAAATCTCAGCAGCTCATTCATTCATTGCTTTGTTTCAGCACTGGAATTTGGACATGTTTTTTTTGTTTTAAGCCACATTAAATTTATAACAAGTGGGTCAGGCATTTCATACTTGGCTTCCAAAAGAAAAAAAAGAAGAAGGACCCCCCACCGCTGCATAAAAAGGATGCGGAAGCAATGCAGGAGCACTGAAGACATCACCCTGGAATTTCTTCCAAGTTCAGAGCTACTGATAAGGCCGCAGGTCAATTCTCAAATGAGACAAGAATGAACAATCAAGGTGGAACAAGATTTCTTTGATTATTATAGACAAGTGCATCTTGAAGAAGTGTTACACCTGCTTTTTTTTTTGGCCAGGGTATGACAAAGTTAAAATAAGCTGTGTCCTATTGCAAACTTTTTTTTTTAAAAAAACAACAAACTTCTAAAAATGATGTTTCTCTTTTCCACGTTTTTGCCGGTTGTTTTTAAAATGAGTATTATCGATCTGTCAGTTCAGGAGATCAGAATCTGTCCCAGAGGATACCAAATGGGGAATGAAAATTCCTCTTGCTTTGGTGAGTGAAATTAGAACTTTAGATACCCTCAGAGACTTATTGCATTTTTATTAGTATTTCTTTTATTTAATTGTGTCTGTTTTGATTTGATAAATGCACATCATGTATTACAATAATCTAACTGGATAGTAACAGATGCTTGTAGTCTTTTTCCCAAAATAAAAGTGACAATGATAAATATTTTAAATGTTTAAATAAATGTAACTGTTTATATGAAAAATCAGGATTATTTCTTGAAGAAACTAGACCTGTAGTAAACTGTAAGTCTTTATTGTTCTCTTGTGGTGATCCAGATTTTTGTACTCTAGATCAGATATAATCTCAGTAAGATGCCAGAAACTAAGTATTTGGTACTGATATGACTTGAAGTACCTGAATATTTTTATATTGTAGTTGTTCAAAAATCCAAGGCTTAATCTATATTACAAATACACTTTGCTTTTTTGTTTATATTATATAGTAGAGTAGTTGGTTCTGCCAACATATCTAACCTGGGGAATATAATCTGGCAAAATGACTTGATTCTTACAGGGTTTGGGAAATTCCCAAATTTCCTTGGGAAGTTGGCATAATTATTTAACTAGCAACTTGTCTAGCAGCTTTTCCACTTGATATACTCTTGTAACCTCTCCAGCCTGATTATTGGCCAGACTGCTTAAGTATTATGTTCGAGGATTAAGGGAGCAATAGTCACACAGATCATAAGAGGTTTCTATACATCTAATGTGTATTTAGCTTCAATTTTAAGCACATTTAATTGGAAATAAATCTCTTGAATCCTGTGGGACTTGTTCCTTAGATTGCTTCAGCAGAAAGTGTCCCAAAATCAATACATTTTCATCAAATGAATTATTATTGGTAAAGTGGTTTCAATATGTTTTATTTGTCACTGTTATTGGGTCTTTTTTCAGAGCCATGTGTCCATCAGTCCATCAGGTTTCTCTGTCTAATTTTAGATTTCCATGATCATTTTGTTCATTATTCATTGAATTTCCTGAGTTATAAGGCCCTGTCAGCACCAGTCATGGAAACAATTCATCATTTACTCCAATCCTATACATTGCATGCTACACAGTAGTGACATTAGATCATCATTTCAGATGTTATAGACTTGGTGTGCAATCAGAGATAAAAGATAAACATAAAAGTAAGATTATAAAAAAGAGAAAGTGTGTGCTTAGAAATTAAGAAGCATGATTAAAAAATAGAAATAGAAAAAAATAGAAAACATATATAAGGAAGCAACTCCTGGTTTTTTTTGCAGCAGTTACAAACAATCCTTTCTTCTCCCTAATTAAACTTGCACCATAATTAACTTCTTCTTGTGTGCAACTTTATTAAATAGCAAATTGATTAATCACCAATTCATTTTTTCCATTTTCAGCAAAAAAAATCCTTAAGAGATTTATAGTCTTTAATAACTTGTTGTCTTGTGTAACTTCCTTTGTTGTTATTACCAAACGTTTGTAGTGTTATTTGTTGCTGAAAATGAGAAGCCAGTGCATTTATTACATTTGAAAGTTATACAAATGACTGGAGACATTGGGTTATTGTTTGGGGGTTGGTACTATTATTATTTCTAGTTCTGCTCAGTTTTTGGAGGGGAGTTTTCAGCACATCGCTCAAAATTTTACTCTCACATACTGTAGGTTAAGTTTTTATTGTGCAATAATTCTTTTTGCTCACATAAATGAGAGACCCTGATAACTACAGAAATTATTATAGGCAAATAAAAAAATAAAAAAGGCAGGATGTGCCACAGATAACGTCTTTTCCCAAGAATCCTAGAAATTCCATTTTGTCAAAAGTATATTTCAAAGTTGCACCAAACTTTGCCCGTTTTGAAGTTCTGTATTTATAAAGAGGACCGTGATTCGCTTTGCAGTACCCTAGTGAGTCTCCCTGCCTTCATACCATGCATACTAATGTTTCACTTTCTGCAACTGGAACTTTGCTTTTATTCTTGGTAAATGTAATTCCTTGTATCTAAGGACTCTGAATTTTACTGCCAGCTTTGCAAAGACGTGATTCATTACTTAGACTCATTCTCTCAGGCTGTCTCTGCTGAGATGGCATAAAGAGACTTTTGAGCACAGAGCAGAAACTGGGGCTTTCATTCACTACTGCCTGTCAAGTTTTATAGATAGACTTTTTTTGGCAGCTGCAGCTGCTTCACTTTGAGAATAAGAGAAACAGGTGATGAAGGAGACTATACGCGTCCCAGGATAATGTTGCAGTATCCAATCTAGGTTGGTCACCGGGACCAGAAGTTCGGTCTTCCAAGCTTTCAGACATGTGCTGGAACCCATCCTCAGGGAACTTCTCTCTAACACAGGGATTCCCAGCCCCCGGTCCATGGACCAGTACTGGGCCGCGGCATGCCAGCAACAAGGCCACACAAAACAAGCAAAGCTCCATCCGCAAGATGAAGGCAGCACACAAAACCACACACTCTCTGGTCTGCAGAAAAATCTCTTTCCACGGAACTGGTCCCTGGTGTCCAAAAGGTTGAAGACCTCTGCATTAACCCACTTGGCTGGAGAGAAGTTCCCTGAGAGGATGGGTTCCAGCATGAGTCCGAAAGCTCGGAGGACAAAATCTCTGGTCCCAGTGACCGACCTAGATTGGATCTTGCAGAAGCAGGTGAAGTTGTTAAAAATATATTGGATTAACATTTCATGATTTGGCTACTAAGAAATATAGCTGCCCAACTCTGAAATAGGAAACAGACTTTCTAGTAAGAAAAGATGGGAAAACCATCTTTTCTTACTAATTGAAGTAGATGTTTCCATGTGTGTCAGAAGAGATGATGGGGGAGTTTGGGTATTTTTATCTGCAGAATGATTTGGAACCATTTGCTTCTAGAAAAAGATCAGGTCTGGTCTCTGCATTAGTTTGGAGAGACCCCTATTGCTAGATAAAACATAGATAGATAGATAGATAGATAGATAGATAGATAGATAGATAGATAGATAGATAGGTAGGTAGGTAACCTTTATTATCTTTTTTAACTGTGGGCGCAGTGGCACACATTAAAAATGAAATTTTGTTGCTTGTTTTCAAAAGTGTACACATACATAACACATATTTAAACATGCTATATACAACATATATATATATAAATCTACACCCTTATGTATAAATAACATATAAATATTAATCGCGGTCCATCTTGAACACATAGCAGAAAGAGGAAGCTTTAGAGTTCACAAGGTTAATACTGTATGGAACAAAACTATGACTGAATCTGGATGTTCTGCTTTGGATACCACAGAGCCTCCTCCCAGAAGGTAACAAGGAAAATAGGTCATGAAGAGGAAGTGTAGTGTCCCAATCTTGCGGACCCTGCTTGAGCAATGCTTAGGTGCTATGTCCTGGATGGAAGGGAGGGAACTGCCAATAATCTTGTCAGCTGTCCTCACCACTCTCTGCACTCTTCCTATCTGAAGAAGTGAAGCTTTCAAACCAGACTGTGATGCTGTATGACAGGATGCTATCGACCGTCCCTTTGTAGAAAGTGGTAAGGACGGGAGAAGGAAGATATGCTTTTCTCATGCAACACAGAAAATGCAGGTGCTGCTGTGCCCACTTCACCAGTATCTCACTGTTGAGCAACCAAACCAGCCTACTTGTTACCTACTCACCCAGGAATTTGATGCTGGTAACCATCTCCACAGGTGAATCATTATTGCACAGAGAAGTGTGGCTGTGCCTGCCTTTTCTGAAATTGACAATGATATCTTTGGTTTTTCCAATGTTTAAAACCAGGCTGCTTTTCTTTCACCATTTCACTAAACCCTCAACCTCGTTGTGATAAGCACCCTCATTGTCATCTTGAATAAGGCCCACTACTGTTGTATTATCCACTTACTTCACAATATGGTTGGTGGCAAATCTTGCACAACAGTCAAGGGTCAACAGGGTGAACAGCAGCAGACTTAGGACACAGCCCAGAAGAGAACCTGTGCTAAAGAAAATGGTATTAGAAATATTTATTCCAGCTTGCACATTCTGGGGCTTGTCAGTGAGAAAATCAAGAATCCAGTTGCACAAGGGAGTGTTTAAGCCTAAAAAGCCCAGTTTGTCTACTAGATGCTGGGGAAAGATTGTATTAAATGACAAACTGAAGCCGACAAACTGCATATGCATATGCTCCACGTTCAGATGGAGAACAGAAAAAATAGCATCTTCTGTAGAGCAATTTGGTCGGTAAGCAAACTGAAGAGAGTCAAATGCTGGTGGGAGGCTAGACGTCCTTTATCAGCTTCTCAAAGCATTTCATAATGATGGATGCCAGTGCAACCGGACGGTAATCATTGAGACCCATAATAGTGAACTTTTTTGGCACTGGCCAAATAATGGCCATCTTAAAACACGATGGGACCACTGCCTGCTGCAATGAAAGATTGAAAATATCTGTAAGAACACAAGCCAGCTCATCCTAAGATTTCCTAAGAAGCTGCCCAGGGATATTATCTGGGCCTGCTGCCTTCCAGATGTTAACTTTCTGCAGTGTTTTCTGGGCAGAGGTGACATCAAAGCTAAGCACTTGATCTCCAGGATGGGGCACAGCTTTCAGGAAGCAGTCATGTTGGAGAATGAATTGGGATAGGTGGGGAAATAGGCCAAGTACCCAAGTACCCGTGCAGTAATCCTTCTGATCACCTGATCATACAATATGCATCACCATGATATTAATTTTTTTAAAGACGTATTATGAAGTATTGGAATAATATGTCAGATGCATAGGCATTTAAGCAATGTTCAAAATAAGTACTCTTCACTTTGGTTAACTGGAAACTATTAAATGACAGATGCAACGCAATATAAATAGAACACCTGCTCCATAATAAATATGGCCAAAACTGTCTTGTTGGATCAGGCCACTTTCATTAAAAAATGGATATTGCAAGCTTTGCTCTGGAAAAACATCTGAGTATTATTTAGACTTACACAGTCACCAATGCTGTTTTAACTAGAGGGATTGAAATGCATTGTCACTAATTTCATTAATTAAGGCACTGATATCATTATCTGATATGTATAAAAACATTTGTAAACTTCCTATTTCTTTTCTGATCTACGTATTACTATTTTTCAGATACAGATGAATGTCTGGAAGGCAGGATTCAGATTTGTAGCCAAAATTGCCTGAATGTCCCTGGATCCTTTATCTGCTCCTGTATGCCAGGTTATTCTTTGGGTGATGACAAGAGATCTTGTCATGTAAGCGGTAAGATTAGTTTGTTGTTTTTGAGCAGTCTGTCATAAAAGCTCTTCATGTGAAGAGAAACACTGACTCCCTCCCTCCCAAGTTTTTGTCCTTCATCTGAAATACTGTATGAAGCTGGTGATATTTTGTATGTTTTTTCCACCCAAACTGTGGAAATACTTTCCCAGGGAAATCAGAATAATTTTCTCTTTTATTTGGCTAGTTACACTGAATTCACTCTCTAAATATATTACTGATCCCTGGTTTTATTTTTTCCCACTGTCTTTGTTTGCTTTTTGTTCTTTGTATATTGTTCTTTTTAAAAAAAAGTATTTTAAAAGCGTCTTCTATAGAAGAGAGCATGTAACACCTTTTCACATGGAAACCAGACAGACATCTCGACATGAATGTGTCTGTCTAGGATACATATTGGCACCAGTGAATATGCAGTGCTGCTCCTCTCTCAACATTCTTTGAATGTGTGAAACTTTGCATATAAATGACTCAATTGTATCTTGCATTTAGCCAAAGAGCATTCCAATTCAAATCTTGGATTCACTTTTACTTGTATAACTTATAAACGAGGAAATAAATATTAAGGGGATAATTACACAGTAGATTTTAAAATTCATGGGTATGAAACCCAGTTAATTGTAGAAAAATTGAGTTAGCTCTTAAACTAAATAGCTAGTTTGCTGTATGTAAAGGAAATAAGAACTCAAGCATATAAAAGCCTGAAAAGCTGGGGTCTAACTAGCTAGAAGAGAGGGGGCAGGAGAAGAAAGGAAGGTCATTTGCAAAGTCACCCCCTCCCAGCACTGGGTCTCATTGGAATTTCAGTCTGGGTACAGTGTACCTGCGTGCACGCATGTGTGTGTGCATGTATATCTAGTCTCTTTCTTTCTTTCTTTCTTTCTTTCTTTCTTTCTTTCTTTCTTTCTTTCTTTCTTTCTTTCTTTCTTTCTTTCTTTCTTTCTTTCTTTCTTTTCTATAGCTGTCCAACTCAACCAAGTCTCTCTGGGAGGCTTACAATTCTAAAATTATAAAACAATTTAAAAACATCAAAAAATAAAAATAAGAACAAACAGCAGCCATGATGCTTAATCAACTAATCGCAAAGCCAATAAATGAGGCCTTTAACACACTGCAAGACCTACGCCCAGGTACATACGCAAGTTTTTAAAACCTTCTCCGAGGGAAGAATATTCCAGAAGGCAGGGACTACAGCAGAAAAAGACCATCTTCTAGTTCGATCGTCTTTGGCTGACAGGATCTGTAGCAGGCCCCCTCAGTTGGATCGAGTTGGATAGAAAGAAACCCTTGGAAGAAACCCTTTCTCCCCATTGTTAACACACTGTCAGGTGATTGTGAGCTCCATGTCTAGATAGCCATCACAACTTCATATTGATTCATTTCATACATAGAGTGGACTAATAGTTCATGAAAATATAGTTATTTGAGTGTAATTAAAAACACCATAATTAGTAATTCCTGCCTGAGATAGTAGATGTGGGGTTGTACAAATAGTTCTCAACTTACAATTATAATTGGGGGTAGAACGTTTGCCATTAAGTGATGAGGTTGTTAAGGGAATTATGCCTCATATTATTATTATTATTATTATTATTATTATTATTATTATTATTATTTTGGCATGGTTGTTAAGCAAATTTGCTTCCCCCATTGATTTTGATTTTCAGAAGCCTCCTGGATGTGGCTACTGTCATGAATTTATGCTGGTTGCCAAGCACTCAAAACTGATCATGTGACTGTACACTGTCATGTGACAACCATAAGTGTGAGGACTAGTTATAAACCACTTTTTCAATGCTGTCATAACTTAGGCTGGTCATTAAATGGATTATCATAATTCTGTACTGTAGCATTGCTTTCCATGATACAGGACAGAACCCTTTACATCGGGGGGCATCTAATCTTAGCAACTTTAAGATTTGTGGATTTCAACCCCAGAATACCTTAAGTTGGTTCGGGAATTCTGAAAGCTGAAGTCTATGTCTTAAAGCTGGACAAGTTTTACATGTTTACTCCTAGTCAAAAACCTCTGGTGCCTATGGATTTAATTTCCTGAGAAATGTATACAAAATTGTAGCTAAACTTCTAAATAAAGCTGTTTTAAATAAAGTCATGAGTTATGGATAATAAATATAAAATGTTTTGCCTTAATGTTGTCCATTTTCTTTTATAATACATATATTTTTGTATCTTTTTAATGGATTTTTATCCTGCCTTTTTATATACAACTGAAGGTGGCAAACATACCAATATTCCTCTATTCTCCTATTTTCCCCACAACAACAACTTTGTGAGGTGGGTTGGGCTGAGAAAGAGCAACTGACCTTAAAGCCACCCAGTTGGTTTTTCATGCCTAAGAAGGGACTAGAACTTACACTCTCCTGGTTTCCAACCACATCAAACTTTTGAATTGGATTGTTTTCTACATTTCATATTTTTGAAGGATACATTAAATGTTGAACTTGAAGGAATAATACAGAAAAGAGTAGAATAAAAAGTTTGCTTTGGAGCACAGGCATTTTTTCATTTTTCATTTTTTTCTCTTTAGATCCTGTACCATTCCTAGTTTTCAGCCAAGGAAGTGCGATCTATAGAATAGATGTAGAAGGAACCAATCACCAAATACTGGTAGCTGATGTTGGCTTATCAGCATTAATTGATTACCATTATGAAGCAAAATATCTTTATTGGGTGGATAAAGAAAAATGTGTCCTCCAACGTGTACATTTGGATGGTTCAGATCAAGAGGTAATAAAATAATAATTGTTAAAATTCTTCCTGATTGTAAATAAGAAGGGACATTTTTACCAAAAGGATATCTCTGTTTCTTCTTAGAAAAGCAGTGACACCACATGCCGTAGTTTGTCTTTGGGGCTGATGAAGTTAATGCAATTTAGATGGCAGATCTTTCTCATAATGTCTCTGTACTGTATTGTAGTTGTGGAAAGAAGTAAACCTGTGTCTATATTGTTTTTTTGCAAACTTATTCAGAGCATGGTGATACTTTTGTGAATGATCAAGGTCAAACAAACAAATGAAAATGGTCACTCAAATTTGATCATTTTTTTTTGTACACAGCAGAGTTTTTCACTCTCAGCAAACTAAAAATGTGTGGAATTCAGTTCCAAGAATTTCCCAGCAACATGGGAGTTGGTCCACACATTTAAAATTTGCTGATGTTTAAAAATGGCACACTAGAATTTTGCCTCTTCATAAGGAGTTCTGGGGCTTAAAAAAATGAATAGAGTCTGTGGCCTGAAATCTTTGAAACTCATGGTCTAGTATTAGAAGTACATGTTACCATGCCTTTATTGAATATGATGCCCTATACAGAATACAGTATAACTTATATTTTGCTTATAATAGATACTCAGGTTTTCCAGTTGTCATCTCTTCTTTAAGCTGCAATCCTGTGATTCTTGATGGTGTCCCAAGACCCCAATCAGATAAAGGTGAAAGAGAAAGAGATCCATGGGAAAATGTAGCTCATCTTTCCAAGTCTTGTGGTGGCCATGGAAATTTTCAACAGTGTCATTTCACTCACAGCAGTGACAAAACTATATATTCTGGAGATGTTTAGTGGCTGAATCAAGGAAGTTTTGCATTCACCTGATTTTGAGCCCTTGGGCTCTCCAAATAGATATTCACAATAGGAATGTGTGGCAGGAAATTTGGTCTAATGGGAGAGAAGGACCGAAGAAAGTTGAAAGATGAAAAGGCCACATGTGTTCTTGAATTCTTCCTATCCTACCACTAAGGGGTTGTCTGCCCAGAGCATAAAAAGATTTATGAAAATACAAAAAAAAAAAAAATGCATTTCAGGAGTGATAGCTTATGTAGATTTGGATTTATTTTTCTTCTTCTGAATTTAATAATAAATGCCTAAAGGCATTTCCTTAAATGTTAAACCAAGGTAGTATCAGTCATAATGAATATAAAGTTGTTATTCATGAATTCCAGTGCCTTAATACTAATAGACAAAAGAATGGTTGCATTTTAGTATAACTATTTAATTTTTGTGTGTGAATGTGCTTATGTAATAGACCATCTGCTCCATAAAAAAGGATGTTATTGGATTGGCAGTAGACTGGATAAATCAAGACATTTATTTGGCTCACTCCCAAGGAGCTATTGAAGTAATCAACTTGGATGGAAACCATTCCCGAATTCTTATAAAGAACAACCACAATCCTACAAGTATTGAAGTTGACCCAAGTCAAAGGTATTTCCATTTTTAGTTAGTGCAGAAGCAAATCTCAAAGTTAAATAATATACAGAAATGGACTGTGAGAATGGAGAATATAATGGGCAGATGAGCCTATTATTTCCCATTTTCCCTTATATGTTCAGCTTAGTAAATAAATGCCTAGTTTAAATGAATCATAATCTGCTTTTACAGCTGTTTCTGCATCAACAGATATATTTCTGCATATTGCAGGTATTGTAAACCACGTATGCTGACAATAAGAAATGATGCATAATTACTTTTAATAATTAAACTGGGATGAAAACAATATAAAGAATACTAGATAACAAATTCATTAATAAAAGAATATATGAGCTTTACAATTGCTTTTATAATTTTTGAAATAATGATGATGATAATCGTTCTAATTGGCAGGTTTTTATTTTGGTCTACTGAAGGGACTTTTGATAGCATCTATCGAGCAGATCTAGATGGAAATAAAATCTGGAAAGTTCTAAGGAGCACAGAAAAAATCAAAACCATTTCCCTGGACTTTATCAATGTGAAGCTGTTCTGGATACAGCACGACACCATTAATGAAATTTCATATTTTGGAACCTGCGATTACAATGGTCATTTTATGAAGCTATACAGACAAATGGGACGGTATGTTTATGGATATAAAATGGCAATTTAAAAAAAAAACTGCACCCATCAGCTATAGCTGCTCTGCTATGGGTGCAGACTTCTACTGAGGTGCTGTTCCAGTGGATAAGTAACCATCCTTGATAATGTAGCTGTTTTCATTGTTCATCTGAAGTTTTTTTGCAGTTCTGTATGCATGGGAGAACAAGTAGTCCTTAGCTTATAACGATTCATTTTGTTCAAAGTTACGACAGCACTGAAAAAAAGTGACTTACAACAGGTCCTCCTACATATGACTGATGCAACATCCCCATAGTCACATGATCAAAAACCAGGCACCTGTCAACTGACATGATGCAACATCCCATGTAATTGCCATTTGCGACCTTCCCAGATAATGGGGGAAGCTGGATTTGCTTAATGACCATATGATTCACATAATAACTTCAGTGATTCACTTACAATAATGGGAAAACTTAACAACTGCCTTGCTTAGCAACAAAAATTCTGTCCCCAATTGTGATCATAAGTCGAGGACTTCTTATTGTAAGAAATCTGACAGTTATGGTGATTAATTTTCTGGAAAGGAGCCCAGTTCTTAACATTTGTCACAACACGCCCAAGCTTCCAAACAGAAATGTTAACACATTTGTGTTAATTTTTAACATTAACATGAACTTTTATGGTTCATGAGATGGAATTAAAATCAATGGTTCAGAAAAAGGAATTTGATTATACTGTTAATAAGGGTTTTATGAAACAATGAAATGATAAAGTTATGATCCCAACATATTGTACTTTGTAGGTATTAGATAAGAAGAATTTTGTTTGAGAATTGTTGATATTTGTATAATATTCTTGACCAAGATACCACCTCCAGAATAAAAACATAAATCTCTGTGAACTAGGAGTATATGGTCACTGATGACTTGATGAAATGGGTTATCATCCCAAAGACTTTTGTCATCTTCTGCATTTCTTAAAAAAACTTTGGAAAAAAATCCATGGTGGTTCAGGTATTACAGATGGTTTGGAGGAGCAGATCGCTTTCTTGTCACATTCTACACTTTCCATTGTGACACAGAGACATATATGGAAAATCAATGGAGAGACAGAATTCCTAAAGCCGTCCTATGTTTGCATGGCCATGGTAGAACTTTGTTTCCGTCTGACAGAACAGAGTAAATTTTCCTTCTATTCAAACAACATGATGACCAGAGAAAGCTTAGCCCTAAAAATCCCTTGGAATAAGATGAACTAAAACTAATTCCTTGTAAACCCTGACTGGTTTAACTGTTTATGTGACACATTTATTGTATGTCCTCCAAAGAGGGTCAAATTTAAGTATTATGTAAAACCAGAAGGAGAAAAAAAAAGGTTCCTTGCCAAAAATGCAAATTATCCAAAGTTAACTAAAAAATCCTATTTCTAAATATGAGAAAGTTAGCTCTATTTTTGCTACTTTGAATTAAACGGAAAAGGTTACTTGTAAAATTCCACTGATTCCAATGAAATAGTATACAAATATTTATAGATGCTAAACTACCTTGCTAGACTGATAATGTATTTTCCTTATCTTGTGCATGAGCAACTTAATAAACTGATGCAACTACTTGTTTTATTTCACTGCAGAAATAAAGCCTATGACATATTTATCTTTGGTGACCATATATACTATTCTGACTCAAGGACTGGAACTAATCGGATAGCCAATAAATACACTGGAAAGGATATTGCTGTAATTAACTTGAAAAAAACATTTCCTCAACCTACTGAGATATTGGTGGTGCACCCTGCAAAACAGATTGGCAAAAGGATGGATTCTAAAGGACTTGGTAACTTTACTTATCCCAATAAGGAAAACATTTGCTCCATAATGCAGCCTAAAAATGCTTCTTATAGAAAATATAATTATTGCTTATTTTTATGTAACAAAATTTCAAAACAAGAAGAATATGCAGTGGTACCACAGTACTCAACTCAACTACTTCAAAATTTGGTTCTCCATGCATTTTGGCATTTGAATGTTGTCCCATTACTTGGCCTTTGTTTAGTACTCAGCATGCTGCTATAGGAAGAGGGGGATGGCTGTGTGGAAAAGACAGGAAGTCAGCCATGCTGGGAAGGTTGCTGCAAAAGGAAGGGGATGGCCATAGAGAGTGGACAGGAAATCGTCCATGCTGGGAAGGTCACTGTCATAGGAAAACTGAAAGAAAGTTCTTCCCAGCCAAAACAAAGGGTTACATGGTAAATCATATGGTTTGAACTCATCCTTTCTAGTATCCTTCCTAACTCCAGAACGAATTAATGCCAAGTACCAAGCTACCACTGTAAAACATTAGAAAGACATTTATATCGGGTAGTAAGTTAATATGAAAATAAACTAACAATTAAAAACCTGGTAAAAGAGATGTGGGGTGGAATGCTAAGCTCTGAATGTATGTCCATTTAGAACAGGGGTCTTCAAACTTGGCCCTTTTATGATTTGTGGACTTCAACTCCCAGAATTCCTCAGCCAGGCATGTCTGGCTGAGGAATTCTGGGAGTTGAAGTTCACAAGTCATAAAAGGGCCAAGTTTGAAGACCCTTGATTTAGAGGGTAATGATGGAGAAGATGGCCTTGTGATAGCAGGAACATCTCCAGAAAGGACTCTCCTGCTGTGATGAAATGTATTGAAGAGGTGGATCCCCAGGACGGAGGGGCCACATTCCAGAGGAATAAGGGGCAATTTAGCCTAGATACCATGTGCCAGGAAAAGAGGGTGAAACAGCTCCTCCCTAATAGTTCACAAAGTATATTGCAGATGCAGATAGTAGAGTGCTCAATCTGCCAAGATTTTGTCTATAGCTGTGGAAAAAATAAAGAATTCAGCTTGGAAGAATTGCTCCATATCATTCTTGGTTTGGGGCTTGACACCAGTAGATCTTAACAACTTGACAGGCTTATAAAATGAAAAAGCATCTTTTAAGTCCTGAAACCTTTATAGATTTAAAGCTGGGTATTAAGAATATAAATTTTTCCCAGTATTGGCAATCAGTGTAGAGTTTTCACTACTAGCATCAGATGGCCTCCTTAGTTTGAAGTTCAAATCGCTTCAATTTGAAGTTCAAATTGCTTACTTTACATCAATTGCAATTTCTGAAGAATTTTCAAGGGTAGTCCATGTAAAACCTACTTTAGTAGATAATTTAATCTGGCATCCATTGCTATCATATGCAGAAGAGCTATAAATGGAAAAATCACAAGGTTTTGTTTAGACAAATGCAAAGAAATTTAAGATATTGTGGATAGCGGTGTTTAACCTTTACTTGTAAGTAATGAGTAGATTTTTATTTCATTTTTAGATTTATATCCCACTTTTTCTCCAGGAATTTAAAGTAGCATCTACAGGACTCTCTCAGCTTTTTTCAAAACACAGCCTGTCAGATGGGCTGGGCTGAAAAACACACATTATGGGTAGTTGTAAAGAACAGCACTGGCTTTGGGTGATGAGATAATCTGTTCTGGAGGCTAATGCAAGCCATGATTTAAGCTTAGAAGTCAAGTAACTTGGAGCTTAATCTTACCTCAGCTGGGGGTTGTTAGTAAAAAGAAGCATTTCAGTGTATATTTCCTATTTGTGGGCCGGGGTAGACAACCACTACTGAAATAATATCAGAAAGACAAGCAGTGAAAAGGCAGGGCTCCTGAGTAAGTAATATGTACATCTGTCTGACTGAAAGCTGTATAAATTTTATTTCCCTGATATGTGCACATGCTTGCTGTGACATTTTCTCCTTATATGCTAATAGAAATTTAAGACTCAGGTTTATAAAATTTAAACTAGAACAGAACAGAACAGAATAGAACTGGAAGGGAGCTTGGAGGTCTTCTAGTCCAGCCCCCTGCTCAAGCAGGAGAACCTATACCATCTCAGACAGGTGATTGTCCAGTCTCTTCTTAAAAATTTCCAGTGATGGAGCACCCACAATTTCTGGGGTAAGCTGTTCCAGTATATCTCAGTTTGTCCCTCAAATTCTGTTCCTTCCTTCCTTCCTTCCTTCCTTCCTTCCTTCCTTCCTTCCTTCCTTCCTTCCTTCCTTCCTTCCTTCCTTCCTTCCTTCCTTCCTTCCTTCCTTCCTTCTCTCCAAAGGCAACTCTAGGCAGCTTTACAGACATTCAATTAAAATGCAATATAAAACATTAAAAAAATAAGAAGATCATAAATTTAAAATTCAGTTAAAATAATACTAACCAGGATGGAAAGAGAGGAAGCAAATGTATACAGGAAAGAAATGGGGTGTTATCTATTCCATTAGCTACCTCCAAAGTGCCACTTTCCCAATTGGAATTACCATTTCCATGTTAGTTACTGCTGTTATTTCCCAATTGCTGATTTTCCCCAAACTGTGACTCAGCTGATCTCTTTATCTGTTTTCCCAACTCTTTCCTTGAATTCCACATATATTGTAAATATAATGATGAAGTGTAATCGTTTTCTGTGGGTATTTTTTTCTTGATAATGCATTAGCTTTTAAAGCATACTATTTGTTGAATGCAATCTATTCATTCTCTTTCCAGCAAAACCGACTGAAAAAGAGAAATATGAAGGTCATGTTGTCCTGGTCTCAAGCTTCTTTTGTTTTTTCCTTTCTCCTGCTAAATGCCTCTTTATAAAGCAGCTTCATAAGGAGCTTAAGTTTCCCAGTCCAGATGAACTTTGCATCTGCCTTATTCAGTTTATCCAACCAGACTAATTAACGTCCAAATTAGATTTACAATGAGGCCTTACAGCAAGGGAAATTTCAGGATAAAATCATGTAAACTCTATGTTCTGTGGAGGCAAATCATGACGTGCTAGAAATAAAAATGCACAATTGAACATCGTTGTGACAAGGAAATTACAGTGGTTTCATGGACAGCACAGAAGTAGTTTTAATGGTTATAGGTTTGCTTTACTCAAATTTGGGTTAATAGTTGCCAGCTTCATTGCAGGATGCAATAAAATGGATTACCATTCATTTACAGAAGGAACAGCCCTGTGGGTATGCTGTGATCCTATCCAGATGACAGAAGATTATTGTAGCATAAAGTAGCATAATTGTGGAGTTCCTAGTGTTCTCTGAGCTTGGCAGACATTTCATAACCTGACTCAGTAACATCAGCAGTTTCAGTGAGTGTGGGATTTTCTCCCTGTTTATATACAGTAGCTGGCTCTGTCAGTTTTGGTAGAGGTGTGGTTTTGTCCTTGGAATTCCTTGGTTAGTATAATGTTTCTGCTCGATAGATTGTCTGATATTAAGGGTTGGCTGCTCGTGAGGATGTGTTCTGGCCTTTTTGTTTCCCTCTTAGCTTTTTTGTGTCTTTTGAATGATGTGTAAATACAGTTTATTTCTACGTGTCTATTGATGGCTGCTTGTCTGAATGCCAATCTTCTAGGCATTCCCTAGCTTTTTTGGATCTAGCTTGGTCTAGGAGGCTGTTCTTGTTGAAATTATGATTGAGTCTGTCCACCTGTGTGAGATTAAGAAGCGTTTATCAAATTTTCAAGGACTAAGTTCAACCCTGACCTATGTATACTCTTTTCCCTTGGACTAGCATGACTGATTATCCAGAAATAAGTACATATTACAAGGAGTGTAATATGTAGCTAATTTGTCTACTATAATTACTCTGGATTGAGATAGCTTTTAATAGTTTCAGTCACTTGATATTTTCTTGATTATTTGGAATCAACACAGAATAATTGAAAATATACAAATCTGTATTTGAAATCTGTTTGACTCAAATCTGATTATTAACTAAACCATTTCTTGTTTTGCCAATGGGCATGAATAATCAGAAATCAGAAACTAAAATGACAGCCCAGTACGTTACTTAGAAAAACATTTCCATTCTGAATTTCTGTCATTGATCTTTGCAGAAGATAAGCATCATATGATGCCAATAACTAAACTGAATTTTCTTCAATCTATCCAAATATATTGATTTAAGTACAGCTTGATCTGTTTTTATCTTTACATTGAAGAATATTTCTGTAACAACTTCACAAGATACTAAATTACATTATATTAATTACTGTTATAATAGCTTACTGCTCTTAAGAACTCACAAGCATGTAACCTAATTGTTTATGTGTTTTTAAATTCATCAGATGTCAATGAATGCGCATTATGGAATCATGGCTGTACTTTGGGCTGTGTGAATATCCCTGGATCCTATTACTGCACATGTCCAAAGGGTTTTATTCTCTTGTCTGATAAGAAAACATGCTATGGTAGGTGGCACCCTACTATTTTCCCAAACTTTTTCAAATAATTTCTTTTAATACTCCTTATGTGGTATTTGACAACTAAGCTATTGATCTATCAAAATGTCAACATTCTATAGAGAAACTGAGTTTGTCCATCAAATCAGGGGGCACTTGTGAATTTTTCAGATATCAAGAAAAATATATAGCAAGGTTTCCCTCTTTTAAATCATCACACAATGGGCAAAATTAGAATTATATATCTTATAAGAGGAGAACATCTAAATCCTATGGACATAAGACCCAGTTTACCTGATGAATTTACATAGCCCAATGATGGTGAACCTTTTAGAGACTGAGTGCCCAAACCGCAGCCCAAAACCCACTTATTTATTGCAAAGTGCCAGGAGCGCATCAGCCTTGTGGTGCCCTCAGGGGGGGCAGGGAGGTGGCTCTGAGTGCCGCCTCTGGCACGCAAAAACCAGGGGCGCAAAAATGGGCCACCGTGCTGCAAGGCACAAAAATGGCCGCCGCCGCACTGCGGGGTGCAGATGAACGCCACTGCACCATGCAAGAAGGGGGCAGGGCTAGTGAGTATCATACAGGCACTAGCCCCACCCCATTTGCAGCGTGTGCATGCTTGCAGCCCCGTGCATGCATGCACGCATGTAAAATGCTTCCCCTCCCTTTTTTTCCACTCCATCAATCGACAATGGTTGGTGATCTCTGCTCTACCACCTTTACTGGAGCTTGCTAGTTGGCCGCTTTGCCCCCTTTGTGCTGGGCAGGGCTCCTGCTCCGGGTGGCAGTGTCGGCCTGATGGGCCTGCTGCTGAGGGCGGCAGCGCACGTGCCAACAGAGAGGGCTCTGAGTGCTGCCTCTGGCACGCTTGCCATAGGTTTGTCACCATTGACATAGCCTATCATTTATTGTAGTTAAAAAAACATAAAAAAATGAATTCAAAATCCCTGGTCTTGCATGCTTTATATTTGTTTAAATCTGACAAAGCCCCATCTGTGGGATGCAGGCAGCACACAAAACCATGCCCTCTCTGGTCTGCGGAAAAACTTCTCTCCACAGAACCGGTCCCTGGTGTCCAAAAGGTTAGGGACCTCTGCACTAGATAATAGGAATGCTATGGAAATACAATAACTTGATTTTAATAAACTATTGAGCAAATTTGTGTAGGATAGCTCTGCTTTACAAATTGGTAAAATGTGTGTTGGAGCTATGGCTACTATTTTTATTTATTTGTTTTATTAATTTTGTTTGTAGCCCATCTTGTGCAAGGCTTCACTGGGCAGCTTAAAACTATTGTTAGGGGGATCAATACCAGCTTAAGCAGTCATAGTTATTATTTCCATGCCAATGACTCCATGTAGGTATGGACTATTTAACATTCTAAAAATGACCTGAATAAAGATGTAAAGGGACTGCAGATAAAATCTGAAGCTAAGAAGATTAAGACAATTGCAGATAAAATCAAGATTCATAAATATCTTGACAGGCCAGAATCGTTATATTCAAGGTCTTGCTTTAAGTCCAAGAAACTAAAGTCAAAAATATAAGATGGGCGAGGCTAGTTTACAGCAGTACATTTAAAGAAGATCTAGATGTATTATTTGATAATATAGTTGCTAGAAAAGGATCAAAGTCACAGGAAATAAAAAACTTCCATTTTATCAGCATTACAATACCATGTTCAACTTCAAGCATCATATTTTAAAACACACTGACAAATGAGTGCATCAGGAGAAAAGCCATCAAGATGAACAACAGAGATAGCTGGAGTAAAAATATTAAGGAAAGATATGATAGCAGTAGTCCAATATCTGAAAGGCTCTCATGCAGAAGACACAGCAGGGCTATTTGTATTGCTTTGGAGCTCTAATTTTGGCTAAATCCTAGGGGTCATTTGCAAAGAAAATACTCTTAGATTCATTCATTTTCATGTACGACTAGGGACGAAACCATGAAGAATGAAGATGAGAATACAGTCTATGTCAAAGGTCTTCAGACATAGTCCTTTTATGACTTGTGGACTTCAACTCCCAGAATTCCTCATCCAGACATGCTGGCTCAGGAATTCTGGGAGTTGAAGTCCACAAGTCATAAATGAGCCAAGGTTGTCTACCCCCGATCTAGTCCTTTCTTATAATCAGTATCTAAACCTCACAGCAGCTTAAATAAAATTAAGAGACTATAATTGGTCTTAATACAAATTTGTAAGTGATCTTTCTATTGAGCAGTGAACAAACAAGTGTTTTATGAATGTAGATAAGATACCGAATAATATAAGAATTATTTTGCTTGCTTTGTTACTTGAACCTACTAGTTCTAAGATATTATTATTCTAAAACTAAGTCTGTGACTTGATCAAAATTAAGTAGTATACTTTTAAGAAGTGCAATTAGGACTGCTTTCTTAGAAAACAAGATGGATTTTTATTATTTTCTGTTGAAATGAATGACTATCTACCATAGATTCCAGAAAACAGCTGTAGGAAAACCTAATTTGTTCCAGTTTTAGAGTCTGTGTCTGCAGATGTCTCCATATGGTGTCTTGAATATTGAAGAAAGCAAATAAATGATGATGATGATGATAATGATATCCATTCAGTCCGATCTGACTCCTGTCAATTCTGTAGGCCAGGTCTCTCCACATCTTCCAATCTTGAATTACTTCTTTGAGTTGTTCTATGTTCTGACTAGTGTCAGCTTTAATTATGTCCGGCCTCCGTGTCCTTTGTGACCTGGTTTTCTTTTACCGCTAACTCTTCCAAACATAATTGCTTTCTCCAGTAAATTCCCCCGCATGAAATGGTCTAAATAAGTGAGATGCAGTTTTGTGATTTTGCCTTCCAGTCATGTGTCTGGTGTTGTCCGCTCCAGTATTTGCTTGTTAGTTTACTATAGGAAGATATCTATGATTATTCTTTAACCTGACACCATACCAGGTAGAAACAGTTGATTTCATACTGACTATGTGGGATAAGAAATATAAAACAAATTTGGTAAACATTTTTGCTACTGAAAATTGGTCAAGCTAAGGTTATGCAAACTTGCTTAGGATTACAGAATTTGTCCATTACAGCCTGATGATAAATTCTGCATCTCTAAGACTCACGATTAAAATAACAAAGTTGTGGCTGGATTATTCACAAAAGGATGTTTCTCCTCAAAATGTTGCCACTGCATTGTAGTTTCTGTTTATCCTTCCCAGATATTTCATATATTTTCACAATACCCTGAATTGTGATTCCATTATTCCACAGAATTCTAATATAAGTTTGTGTCACTATTGAGATATGTTGTTTGGTAGAAGATTATCTAGGGATATAGTGAGATGGACAAAAGCTGAGTTTTCTGAATCTTTTCATCATCAGTGCAAATAATAGAGGGGCATTTCCCCTGGGCAAGCTGTTGAATGAACAAGGGCATTAATCTTTTTTTCATGTAGTACAGAGATGTGCAATTTAAGCCTCCAGGCCTCATGAGCTCCCCAGAGTCTATACAAAAACTACTGCCAAATTGTCATGTTTAATGTGGCAGCAATGGAACATTATCCATATTGATTATTCTTAATCAAAAACTAAATGGGAAGTTAGCACAAGATCAATCTTTAAGCACATTATTTCTAAGAATGCTTTTTGCCGCACACGATAGCAGTGTGCACAGCATTTGAAAGGGCAGTTTGGCAAATTATGTTAGTGTGAACAAGGCATCTCTTCAAAAATTTTAAAACAGCTCTGTCCTTTACAACAAGAGTCCCCAACCCCCTTGTTAGGAATTGGGCTGTGCAAGCGAGCAAAGCTTCTTCTGTGTATGCACAGGATCTAGGTAGCATGCGAAACCATGGGCCCCCTGGTTCATGGATAAATTGTTTTCCACATAACTGTCCCTGGTGCTCAAAAGGTTGGGGATTGCTGCTTTACAAGGTTAGTGTATCTTCTTTAAAAACTGTCCTTGTCTCCACGTGCATTTGCTGACAACCTGAGAGGCAGTCCAGAGAAGAAGCACAACCAGGTGTACTAGCTCTATTCTAAGCTTACACAGCAGAATCTTGCAAGACTGAAAGTATTTCTCCCCTCCTTTCCTTTTACTCTCTGGAAAAATATGTTGTATACCTTTGAAACTCTTTCACTCTCTCTCTTCTTTTGTGGACTATGATAACAATAGCAATAGCACTTAGACTTATATACTGCTTCACCGTGCTTTACAGCCCTCTCTAAGTGGTTTACAGAGTCAGCATATTGCCCCCAACAATTTGAGTCCTCATTTTACTGACCTCGGAAGGATGGAAGGCTGGGTCAACTGGTCAGGATCAAAGGAGTCGAACTCCTGGCAGTGTGAGCAAAGTTAGCCTGCAATACTGCATTCTAACCACTGCACCACCATGATATCTTTTATAGGCTCTCCCTCATTTCTCCCAAGGTCATTCCCACATACCATGGCACAGTCCCAGTGGAAATGTTACTTGTGTACATATGCACATAGACAAAGCATAAGCTTTGTAAAACAGATGGCCCTATAATATAAAAAAAGTTTTTTAAGTTTCCTAACATACTTTGAAAAAAAAACTGTTCCAAATGCTTTGGGTTGTCCTAAAAGTGATAGAGAAGTGAAGTTCAGTATTCTGTTGAAAAGTATGTATTTATTCTGAAAAAATCAAATATTTACATTTTGTCAATTATTTTTCTGTCACATATACACACCTTCTCAGGAGAAGCCTTACTCAACTAGGTTGCTCTAGCTTTTAGCTTTAGAAATTGGAAATATATTCTCTTTAAAAACAAAACACCCATCAAACTTGTCTGGAAGCAATACTTGGCCCATGACATAAACACTGGAAAGCAGCGGACAAAAATAATATCAGTGATGTAACACATGGCAAATAACTTGTATTTAACTCTGGCTTGAATTCTTCCAAGTTATTTCCATCAATTTTAAAAAACATTTTCTTCTTCATTTTAATGCATTATAGAACTGATTTCCTGTTCAAGCAATTATATGCACTGCAGCAATGACTGTGGACAGACACCCAAAGGGCCTATTTGCTTTTGTCCTGAAGGATCAGTTCTCCAAGCCGATGGAAAAACATGTTCAGGTAAATAAATATAATTATTTTTCAATGCTTATTCTGAAAATGTTGCTGTAGATGACAAATGTTTGATGTTGAAACAGGATAATATATTTTATAATTAACAGTGTTTAGCATTTGTTCTGTACTTCAGCTTCCTCTAGCCTGGTGTTGAACCAAACAGGTACTGGAAGTATTTGATTAATTCCTATAATCCTGAATCGAACTGGATGTACTGGATATGTTGTAGAACATATCTAGAAGAATCCAAGCTTGGCAAAATAATAGTGTTTAACCATTTTCTTTATCTTATTTCAGTAAAAAAGCAGTTGGAATCTAGTTGCCCTGGGATGGGGGAATCAAAGATATAATATTTTTATTAGGCCAAGTGAAAATTAGGTCAACTAAAACTATTTGTAAGCTTTAAAGAACTCATGAATAAATAAGATGGTTAGAAGGTATAAAATGAAGAAAGGAATGAAAAAGGTGGCTGATATTCATGCCATGTTTACTATATGCTATAATTGGTTTTTAGGTAGAAAAATGGAGATCTTGAGATATACAAGTAGAGAGTGTGAGTTGCCAGGAGTTCTCATAAAGCCGTGGTGGCGAACCTATGGCACGGGTGCCACAGGCGGCACGCGGAGCTGTCTCTGGTGGCACGCAAGCCATTGCTGGGCTTAGCTGCTCCCTCCTCCTCTCCGCGCATGCGCAGTCTGGGAATAGGCGAGAAGCTATAAAAGAAGCAACTTTCTGCGAAAGCAGCATTTGCTGCAGACAGCTTGAGAGTGAGCACAAGTCGGAGCAGACAGCAAGTGAGCACGAGCTGACAGCTCGGTGGCCATGCCCATTTGGTGGCCACGCCCACCCAGCACCCGGCGATCCATAAGTGGGTTTTGGGTTGCAGTTTGGGCACTCAATCTCTAAAAGGTTCACCACCATTGTCATAAAGCTTTCTAGGAGCAGAAAGCAAACATTTTTGTAAGCTATCCATTATTTGAAATATAAATGCTACTATTGGATATTTTATCAAATCTGTACAGTAACAAACTGTAATAAACTGATTTCATTTGAAACATAAATTTGAGCTGTTAAAGTCCAAACTATTTAAATCCTTCGTAAGATATCCAGACCTCATGATTGGTGAGAAGTAGAAGAGATATCAAGCATGTTGTTATAATATGAATAAAACAAGAGATAATGTAAGCTTTCATATTAGGTAGCAAAAAACAAATTGGGAAAAATTATAATCTAATAGGACGAAAGGTCCATGCTGACTGAGAAATTTGGGAGTTGTGGTCAACTGAATTCAAAGGACACCAGGTTCTGAGGAGGCTGATCTAAATTACAGTGTTATAAATGTTTGAAATACCTTAATATCATCCTATTATCCATTATTGACCAATACCAATTACTGCCCGAGACAGACAATTTAGGAAGCAGAATTCCTTTGCATGGAAATCAAAAGATTTTTCTGTTATTGACCTCCTGATGGAACAAGTGAGGTATAGAGGGTCCTTACTTTCATCTCTATCCAGCCTGGGAATCCCTAAATAAATAACTACCAGATATAGTTTAACTAGAGATCATCTCTAAAAGATGTTTATTGTAATATTTACTGAAGCTCAGCAGAGTGAACCATACTATTTCATGTCAATCTAAGTGCAGTGACTTTAGATAAAGATCCATCTTTTAAAAAAGTGAATCTGTTCTAGGTTGTACATCGCCTGATAATGGTGGTTGTAGCCAGATTTGTACATCTTTGAGTCCAACAACCTGGGAATGTAGTTGCTTTCCTGGCTATGATCTCCAGGAGGACAAAAGACATTGTGCTGCTTCAAGTAAGTATTGTGATTTTTGGACTCATCCTCAAATTCGTCTAACTGAGGCATGAAGATGCTCCACAAACTGCTTTTAAAAGACATATGGTGGTATCATATAGGACAAGGGGTCCCCAACCCCTGATCCATGGATCGGCACCGGTCCGCAACATGCCAGAAATCAGGTTGCATAAACAAGCGAAGACCCATCCACGGGATGTAGGCAGCACACAAAACCATGCCCCCTCTGGTCCATGAAAAAAACCTCTCTCCATTGAACTGGTCCCTGGTACCCAAAAGATTGGGGGCTGCTGATGTAGAATTTTACCTCTTTGCTTAATTCACACATTTTTTTTTGCAATGGACACAATCTATGAATCATCCTTGAAGACATGGTGGATGACATTGTGACGATCTTTCTGCTTTCTATTGGCCAATTTAAGCTGATGCAGTAACAGGATACTGATTTATGGACATTTTGGCATGGGTTGCAAGATGGATTGGATACGTGCTTTTTGCAGGTGCATCTGTCCATGTAATGCCAGACTGGTGTTTCTGGTCATTCTGAAATAAACTGCTCCAGCACATGGTGCATTTTGCTAAAATGTATAGCTAAATTTAAGCATAGATGGCTCTTAAAGAGATCTAGGGAGACTTTCCTTATTTGATCTTCCATCACTACAACTGGGGATTGATACGTCAATCTTCCTTTTTAACCATACCCTGTAGACACTCTTCATAGGACAGAATTGAAAGCGTAGCTAAGCAAAATAGTTCAGCTTAACATGGGAAGTACTATTGAGTTACAAATTGGTGTTTAATGAAAGACTGGAATTGATAAGGTATCTTGGGGATGGGGGCGAGGGTGGCTACGGTGACATTTATATTTATGTTCTATTATGTTAAATTTATTTTGAAGCTTTATTTAACCAAATACTACTGGTATATCTTCAGAGCACTATTCTCTAAAGCACGGATCTCAAACTCGCTGCATCATATGACATGTTGCGATGTATCAAGACTTTTTTTGCATTGCTGGAGCTGGGGTGGGCACGGCCTCCACATGATGCAACTGGCCTGTGGGCCGGCAGTTTGACACCCCTGCTCTAAAGCAAGTCCACCACAGATTATTCCTGTCCAGGAAAAAATGGTAGTATGTAACAATATTCATATACCTGTTTTGAACGACATAAGCATCTGTCACATTTAGCATGTTAAATTCATTGGCAGATTATCATCTTGGTTATTTATAATCATATTGTAATTAAGGTAATCTGTGATTAGTGCCAAGTAAGGATTGTAAATGAGAAGAAAAGAGAGAAAGACGTGCTACAATTTGCTTCTTTCCATTGTTATCTGCAGAGTGTTGAAGTAGAAGACTTAACATGTTACTACATTTATTACAAACAGGAGCAAAGCCATTTCTGTTGTTTGCGAACAGTCATGATATCCGTAGCATTGCTTTTGATGGGACGCAATACTCAAGAATCCTTAGCTGGCAGATGGGAATAGTCTCAGCTTTGGACTGGGATCCAATGGAAAGTAAGGTAAGCTTTTTTTTTTTTTTTTAAAGAGGATTTCAAAATATTGCAAGGATCAATGCTTTTACTGCATTGCATTTTAACTGTGCAGTTCATGATGTTCCATGATATAGATAAAGTGCTTCTTATTGCTATTATGCTTTGGGCCAAATGACTTCCTAAACAATGAGCACTTGACAGCAGTTATATATTAACATGCAGTGGTGTGATTCAGCCGGTTCACACCACATCAGCAGAACCGGAGCTAATTTTTTGTTGTCCAGGCCCAGAATGGACTTCCAGAAGCGGCATCCACACAGAGAACTAGTTGTTCACATATTTGAATCCCACCACTGTTAACATGACATATCTGTCATATCTATACATTCCGTATTTGTTATTTTCTCTATTAGCAATAGCACTTAGATTTATGTACCACTTCACAGTGCTTTACAGCCATCTCTAAGCTGTTTACAGAATCAGCATATTGCCCCCAACAATCTGGGTCCTCAATTTACTGACCTCGGAAGGATGGAAGGATGAGCCAACCTTGAGCCAGTGAGAATCGAACTGCTGGCTGTTGGCAGAGTTAGCTTGCAATACTGGTTTCTAACCACTGTACCACCATGGATCTGTTGGTGTTATTCACACATGGCTTCCATCCAGGACCTTGATTAAACATTATTTGTGCACTAGTAGGTTTGGAAGAAACACAGTCTCAACTTTGTAAATAATGTAACTATTTTTTTGCTCAAATAAATGTCATTAATATGAGAAGATGTGAGAGAAGAAATCCTATCCCCAACTAAGAAGTGCAGTACAGGTGGTACTCAACTTACAACTATTCATTTAATGATCATTCAAAGTTACAACATGACTGAAAAAAATGACTTATGACTGGTCCTCTCACAACCATTGCAGCATCCCCACAGTCATGTGATCAAAAGTCAGGCGCTTGACAAATGGCATGCATTTCCAATGATTGCAGCATCCTGCTGCAACCTTCCCAGTCAGCATTTGATCAGCAAAGCCAATAAGAGGAAGCTGTATTAATTTAACAACCACTAGACTCATTTAACAACTGCAGTGATTTGTTTAACAACCACAGCAAAAGATGTGGTAAGGCTGCAAAAGTGAGCGCAACCCACTTAACAACTGACTTGCTTAGCAATAGAAATTCTGTGGTTGTAGGTTGAGGATCATCTCTAAACCTTCTGTTTTCTTCTTACAGATTTATTTTACCCATACAGACCTGAACTGTATAGAGAGATCTGATCTGGATGGCACCAATTGTGAAAAAGTTGTATGTGACACAAGGGAGAAATCAGAAGGACTAGCACTAGACTGGATTAATCGTAAATTATACTGGACTGACCCAGAGTATGTTTTTTGCATAAATATTGCAGGACACTTACTGGTAGTAAAAAAATATGGTAGTAAATAAACAACTGACAAAAAAAGGAGAGAGTAACTGAAATGTTTCTGAAATGGTAGCATGCATTTTTGTATACTTAAGATAGTCATAACAGAAAGACCTAGAGATAAAAAAGAGAGACCCTTTGCTGAATAATATGCTAACCAAAAGCATTCATGTAAAGCAATTTCTTTATTGAACATTGAATGTATTTCCTTTTGAAAAAACAAGGACATTGTTAGGAAAAAAAACACTCCCAAACAATTGTGTCTGAGATGTTATTTTTAATTCACTTCACAGATCTCCTGTCCAGAATTTCCACCTACGAAGGGAACACTTTTGATTATATCAAAAGTCATAAAAATATTGTCTTCCTAAGAAACCAGTTAGCAATTGCTGTATTTGAATATAGTAATAATTGGTTTACAAAGCCAGTTTGGTCTAGTGATTAAGGCACCCAGGTAGAATTCAGGATAGACATAAAACCAGCTGGATGACTTTGGACCAGTCACTCTCCTTTAGCTCTGAGAACAAGGCAATAGCAAACCATTTCTGAAAAAAATTGCCAAGACAACCACAGAGACTAGTCCAGGCAGTCAATTGACTTGAAGACGCACACATAATAATAGTTGCTTTTCATGAAGTTACTAATTTAATTTATGGATTCTAGTTGCTCCTACTCCTAGTCTTACTCAGTTCTCTTGCAGTTTACAACTTTAATTAATAGGACAAGATAGAACCGAGAAGAAATGTTAAAACATTTAATTAATATTATGGTATAGACTAAGAATCAACTGGAAGGAGGCAAGTAAAGTGACAAACTAAAGTTATCGCAATAAGAAACCCCTTTCTATGTGCATATTTTGCAGGAAATATAGCATTGAAACTAGTAATCTAAATGGAATGCAGAGAAAAATAATCATACAGGAGAAGGAGTTTCATCCTCAAGGAATTGCTGTTCATCCATTTACCAGGTAAGATACCAAGTCAAATTTGTTTCCAAACTGTTATTGGGTATTATAGACTCCCAAGAATAAAGTCTGTAAAATTGTTGCTTCTATTGAAACTGTTTCACCTGTGCAGAGATTTTGCAAATACAATAATTGAAGGTGCAGATCCAATGGCTCTAATTCTTCAGCCCCTCATGAGCTACTGACCACAAAGCAGAAGTAGAATGTGGATAAACAGTTGCTTATTCGGTGTTCATAAATACAAAAAGCAGGCTAGTTAGAGCAATAGTCTTCTCTGTAATGATATATGGGTGTGAGAATTGGACACTAAGAGTAGTTGATTGAAAAAGAACTGACACCTTTGTTTGTGATACTGGCGTAAATTACTGCGTATACTGTGGACAGCCAGAGTAACTAACAGAGAGATATTAAATCTTATAAAACCAGACACACCACTAGAAGCCAAAATCATAAGACTACGTCTGATTTACTTTGGCCATGTGATGCATACAATCCATTGCAGAAAGCAATGGTGCCAGGAATGGTTAATGGAACAAAAAGGACCAAGCAACAAACATGCTGGCTTGATAACATCAAATCTGATACAAAATTGAACATCCAACAACTGAAAGTAGCTGTGCTTGAAGAGTATTATGGAGAGCACTTCCCTATAAACTTGCCTATAAAGAATCGGACATGACTAATTGGTTAAAAAGAACAAATTCTATGGTTCTCTCTGTTCATCACTCTGCCTGCTCTTTGTCTAAGAGATTGTTTCCGTTGCCTTTCTCCTCAGACAGCCATGCACAGAGCACATGTTCTTTGACTCTTCTCCAGATAGTTAGCTAGATGGTTGACTTTCTCTTATCCCCATGAGCTATTTCCTCTAAATAAATTTCATTTTCTGTTCTAGTCATACATCTGGAAATTGTCCAATGACTTGTGCCCCACTGTATTTTAATCATGGTTGAGGGATCAAAGATGGATTTTAAAACACAAAATTATTACCTATGAATAGTGTTTATATCTCACTCTGACATATATATATATATATATATATATATATATATATATGTAGGTCTTTAGTTGTTCGGGTTTTCTCCCGCGTAAAATTGGAAGTGTCTTGGCGACGTTTCGATGAAGTCCTTGCTGCTCAAAGCACGAAGCTGAAAACACCAGCCTGAAGATGACGAATGGGACTTCGTCGAAACGTCGCCAAGACACTTCCAATTTTACGCGGGAGAAAACCCGAACAACCAAAGACCTACATACAAATACCCGCGAAAACCTCAGAAAACATATATATATATATATATATATATATATATATATATATATATATATATATATATATATATATGTCTTCTTTGTTCTGCAAGTTGAAAGGATTTTTAAAAATGCAATGACTTATTTTGTTTTCCTTCACCAAAGGGAACTGTTTTGGACAAACCTAGGGATCAATCCACATATTGGAAAATCTACTTTGCAAGGCTCAGAGCGTATCATTATAGCAAATTCAGACTTAGTTTGGCCCAGTGGAATAACTATCGACTACTCTGATGACAAGCTATACTGGTGTGATGCCAAAATGTCTGTTATTGAAACTGCAAACCTGGATGGTTCCAACCGGCAAATACTTACACAGAATGATGTAGGTGAGGCGTTGGGATGTTAGTTTTCTATCTAATAAGGCACATATCAAAAATGTCAATGGAAGAGTGACTTCAGTAGCTCCCTCCTTTTTTGTACCACTTATCCATCACTGCTGCTCTAGAAAATTGATTAGGGTCACAGTGATGAAAGAAGCAAGTTCCTGCAAATATCCATGATAGTCAGCTGGTTATTTGTTGGTCACCCATCATATTGCATTATTTCTATGATCTGATTCCAGCTTGCCCCAAGATGAGGTTCAGGCAGCCCTGTGGAAAATGAAGAAAAAAAATAGTTTTTTTAAAAAAATGGGAAGCAGGAAAGTGTTAAAGGAATTGTATTTGGACTCTGCTTTGGAGAGCAAATAGCGTTAGGACTCACCTAGTTCACATTCCAACGTATGTTTGTTCTGATAAATCAATAGGGCACTAGATAAGGGAGGGAGTTTAACAAAGGGACGTGTGTGTGTGTGTGTGTGTGTGTGTGTGTGTGTGTGTGTGTGTGTTTCCCCCCTCCCATTTTGCTGACTTACTTGAAGTATTATTTGAAAAGAAATGTGTATTATTACTTACTTGTGTATTATTTGTAAAGAAATGTGAAGAAATTTTGAAAATTGAAGTACTATGTGCTCATAAAGGAAAGAAAACAGAACAAATACTTTCACCTCCTTTAGCCCAGGTAATAATAACTTAATATTACTATAGTGATTCTTATTGCAGCACTTCTGCCATCTAGTGCCCATTCCTGTCATTTAAGATACTGAAAAGATGCCTCTGTGGAGGAGAGATCAAAAGACTTGAGATTTAGTGTCAGCTCTGAGTTGATGATAATATGCTTCCAATGACCAGTTGTAGGGGAAAAAGAGCAGAGGAGGCCGATGTTTCTATCTCTGCTTGTGAGTGCTGTAAATGCAAGTCTATCTGACAACTCAGAAAGTAAATGCTGGCAAGAAGATTTTGGCCTAATCCAGAATGGTCATTTTTTATGTTCTTAGACAAGCTGTTATGTTTATAAGAGAACAGAAGAAACTTTTGTGCATGCATTCTAAGACTTCCAGTGATTTTTGTACGTTCTCTGGTTCTTGGCTGGTGGAAGGGCCAAGCTTTTAGGTGAAGATGGGCAATCCTTTGCTAGCTTTAGCCTGAACTAAAAGAAGGACAAAAAAACCTCAGAGTGAGGATATGATATATATGCAGATACAGCCAAGATTTCCAGTAGTGTCTCTGTTTGGGGTGGGGAAGTGTTGAAGTTTTTCTGTCTATACTTTTTGTGTGCTTCCTGTCATAAAACAGCAAGAAGTGTGACTGATTTTTTTAAAATTGTGCCATTTTGCTCCAGTTGGGCTATTTTAAAAAAGGATCACTGGTTGTAGAGAAATGAAGGTGGGGACTACGTATGTCCCTAGGGCTACATATTGCACACTGTTGTGTTAAGGGAAGAAAGAAAAAGACAATGCTTATAATTGATATTACTTCAAGTAGTCCTTGCTTAGTGATCACAACTGGGACCTGCAACTCAGTTGTAAAGCAAAGTGGACATTAACTGAGTTCAGCTTTCCTTTGCTTTGCAGACTTGTGAAGGTTGTTAATGCGAAGATTGGTCACAAAGTTACTTTTTCATCACTCTTGTAATTGCAAATATTCATTAACTGAAAGCTACTTGTGCTATAACTGCTATTTGGATTTTGTACTCTTAGGCTTCCCAGTAGTCATAAAAATCCTAGAAGAATGGGACTTTTTAGGTAAAATTAAATAAATGATTGAAGACTGGCAATACAAAAATATTTTGGACTACAAATAGTAATTTGTATTATTTAAAGTCAATTAAACATCAGTTAGAACCATTTTGCTAGTGGAACAAGCTACTGGTGAGCTGACATCTTATTGCTTTAATGCTTGGACAGATTATTCCTGTCTGATGTTCCTGATCACCACTCAGTAATATAAAGTCTGTATATATTATTTTAACATTTCCCGCTTTTATCCATCAATGTTGTGGTAGCAGTGATGACATCTGGAGTCAAATACAATATGGAAGGACACAATGTGCATCTAATGCAGATTGATGAATGTGCTTTAGGCAAGAGATTGATCTAGGAATTTAAAAGATTCTGCCTCACTCTAATCCTAATCTTCAATTTATGACAAGGATGGACAACTCTAATACTGTGTAGGGTATAACTAAAGCTGCAGTCCCAAAGTGGGTGGGGCTAGGAGTCTTTAAAGATTGTTCTAAGGTTTTTATGGATTGAGGGATGCCCCCTCCAAAAACAGACAGATTCTGGGCGGCGGGATCTGCAAGTTGCAGAAGAGATTATGAAATAATCCATGCAATCCCTAAGCCAGAGATTTGAATCTTGATCTGCAATATTCAGAACAGAAATATACTGGGTGCAAATAAATCGATGTGTTTACTCAGTGAATGTATATAATGGAACTATCAATCTTTATATCTACATTCTAGGCCATCCATATGGCATAACAATTTTTGAGGACCACATTTGGGTATCTGACTGGGCTAGGCCTTCGTTACTGAGAATAGACAAGAAAAATGGCTTCAAGAAGGTACGCCTTGGAGGAAGCATGCTGAGACCCACTTCACTGCTTGTAGTTCATCCTTTAGCCAAACCAGGTATATGTCAAGGGTACTTTAATCTTTTTCTGATTAGCTCTGTATCAGGACTTATTAGAGGTTCTAAAATGTTAGACACAAGCTTTCTGGCAAGCAGACGGTAGGAAGAAATGGGCGGGCAGCTTTGGTGGATGTCTGGCAGGCAGAGGGAGACGTCAGGGGAGGCTTGCACTGCCCGGGCATGGCACAAGGCACAGGAGAGTTGGCGGAGAAGGAAAAGGAACTACCACCAGTCAGGTGATCTGTGGGGCAAAGCGGGGGTAGCCAGGACCGAAGAAAGGCCCTCCAGTGAAACCTCCTGGCTCTGAAATGGGACTGGGTAAAGTGACCAATCCTCCCCGCCCATCGTCCGTGCTCCTGCTGCAACAGTTGCTGCTGTTGTTGGTGCCCCCCTGCGAGGTGAGGCAGGTGGTGGGGCATGGGTGTCCTGGCTGCGGGGACCATGAGGTAAGCGGGTGTGGGGCATGTGGAGCAGCTTCACCTCCCCACCTGCCTCACTTCACCTTGTGGTGGTGGCATCGGTGTGACACATGCAGTCCTGCTCCGTTGCGGCTATGAGCAATCAGACCGTGGGATGGAGTGGGTGGCTGGGTGGCTGCAAAATGAGACATTCCCTGAAAATAAGTCGTAATGGGTCTTTTGGTCCAAAAAAATATGACCAGGTCTTATTTTCGGGGAAACATGATATATAGTAAGCAATGTATCTCTATTACTGGTTTGTTTTGACAATTACAATATATTTCCTTTTTGCTTTAATTTAGCAGTTGAATATATTACAGGGATATTTGTCCCCTAATAAATAATTCTGAAATGGGACTTCCAGTTTTGTGCTGTAGCACATGGCCATGGGATTGCGATGCTCTGCACCCCATGGCCAGTTTTGCTCTGCCAGGGGACCCTAAATGGATCAAAGGTCGCCCCAGAGAAACGACAAAGAAAGAGGAGTGCTCCAATGAACACGGAATCATGGCAGTCAATCCATTTGATCCGGGAGAAGACATCTAACCTGCAGGAGAAAGGCTAGCTGCACACCAATATCTAGCCTAAGCTATTTGCAGCCAAAGTCCAAGAGCACGAACTAGAACAACAGTGAATAGCATGCTTGGAATTGGTGAGGGTATCGATCTTCTCTCTTCTATTTTGTAACTGATTCCTTGGGAAAGATCCCCAAAGTAAGAAATCCTCCAAAAGTGAAGGGAGGGGACTACACCCCCATTCCTCCATAGAAGGAAGTGGTGAATTTTAACTTTTAAGGGGGAAAGAAATATATTGAAATGAAATCTATATTACTACAGTCTGGATAAACCTAGAAACTAAAACAATTGTTAAGATTTTACACCCTAAAAGATTCTGATGAAATTATATATATATATATATAAAAAATAAGAACTTTTTGTTTGAAAAAACTAGAAAACAAACAACTACTACATCTAGTAAAGAATCAGACTATAAAACATCAACAAGACTGATTCAGAAATTGGCAAGATGCCCAGAAACAAAGAATAATCTGTTCCCTTGAACTTTAATAACTCTCAAGAAGACATCTGGGAACAAAGAAAGAAAACATACGGAGCCAGCCATAAGATTAAAAAGCGTTTGCAGAAAAAGAAAGGCTCTGACTGCTGTTTAAGCCCAAAAATTATTTATAGAAAAAGAAAAATTTTGACTTTTGGCTAATCTCTCAGGAGGGGAATTTACAGGAAGGACTCAAGGTGGCTAAATATACTGGATTGCAATTCTGACTGGTTGATAACTGACCCCTAAATAGAAGAACTGTGGTAAAATACTTCTTTCACTGATGCCTTGACAATTGGAAACAGATTGGATTACAAAAACCATATATAAAGATAATTATATAAGATTAGGTTGTTTGGATTCTGAGATTGGCTGGTTTGGCAAGGCTAATCATAGAGACTATGGCACTGATGAAAGACTATTTGGAGGGGGAGACAATAGGGATATTGTATACTTATCAAAAAAAAAACGACAGGAAACCACATCTAATATCTACTCCTAAAAGTTCTAGCCTGGAATATCACAGACCTCCAGAAGCAATATTCCAAGACAAGACAAATACTTTTCAGGAGGAAATGTATGCAGTGCTATAACAGATACAAATGACAATGGATTCAAACCATGAGGAGATCAAAAACAACTTTGATGGCATAAATGAGCACATCTCTAATCTAAACTTACAATTAAAAAACTTTCAGAAAATGACGATAAAGAATGAACAAACAAATCAGATAATTGAACACAAACTTGAAGAAAATGACTTAAACAGCAAAGCCACAAATGAAGAAAATTGCAACTTAACAAAAACAGGAAAAAATCTACAAGATTTTGCCAATAAAAATGAAACAAGTAACTTATTTGTCAGGATGTCAAAACAAACCCGAGGATAAGAAAGAAGATTTAATAAAATGGACTACAGAGCTGCCAGGAGAATCATTAGATTTTGGGAGACAAAAAGCACATATCCTACATAATTTGTTTTTCTCACTCCCAATAATACCCACAAAAATACAGGAACTTCCTGGTAAGCGAAATATATTAACTTGGAAAGCTACTTGGCAAAAGAAGAAGGCCAGAGTTAGATTCAAAAGATTTGATTTGCCTTACCAGATGGAATATTACATGAACAAACACCTGTTTGAATATGGTTAAAAGAACAGAAAATTTTGGATATAAGGGGGCTCTATAGTAAGAGGGATAAGAGATATAAGTTAGTATAGTATCTTTTACAATATATGAAATGTAAAAATATTGGATGATATGTGTGAATGAAAAGTTTGAAATTTAAAGGTAATTAATTTGAAGAGAACTAGGACTGAGGAATGACTAAAATATTGAGGGGAAATTAAGCTTAAACAAGAATTTTTGAAAACAGATTATATAGTGACTTAACAAGATAATTTTTACAAATATAAGTGAAATATAAGCCAATAAAAAAAGATATTATATGTAGATGTTATAAGATAAATAAGTAGTATATTATCCTTATAACACATGAAACATGAAAATATTGGGATGGTGTATATAAATAGAAAGCTTGGATATACTGAGAAAATTAAGACTGATAAAAATGACTTGAATATTAAGGGGAAGTTAAGCTTAAATAAGAATTATAAAAATAGAATGCATGATGAACCAATAAGATGATTTTTATAAATACAATACAAGTTGATTAGAAAAAAATGTCATATATGGACATCATTATTATTTCTACAAATATGAAAAAAATGCCTATATTTAATCATTTATGCATTGAAAATATTAAGAATTATACTTGTTTAAGGTTGACGAAGGAGAATACTATTGGAAGAAGAGAAGATCAAAGAAATATATTACTAATTAATACACTAATTATGGAATTATAAAATTAATCAGTATTGACTGTTAATTAATTATTACTGATTTTTTAAAAATATATGAACCAAGATAACACGCTGTTCACTAGGCACTAGGGATTGTGATTGTAAAAATCAATAAAATATATTAAAAAAATAATTTTGAAATGATACAGTGCAGTGGTATGTATCACCCTGTTATTTTTACCTTTTCAGTCCGTACCTCTACATCCGAGAAAGGTGCATCAGGAAAGAAAGTGTTTGCCATAGAAACACCATCCCAGCATTTTCTGAGTAACAGCAAATATGGTGATAGCCACGGAGATGACCGGGAGAAGCAACAGACACTGACTGCTGAAATTGTGGTGTCTAGTAAAGATTGCCTTTTCTTATTTCATAATGATAGGAGAAGACGTGTGTTCTGTGTGACTGGCAAAATAGCTGATAGGGACCAAAGAAGCATCTCTGCAGTTTATGAGAATGGCTGTTATGATCATGTGCAGTTAGAACATAAAAAAAAAAACCTGCCTTATATTAACTTAGATCCTTGATCTGCCGATTCTGCAGTGGCAAGTTAAACTGTGCAGCAACTACTGGTAGCTTCATAACAAATATTATTTATCTATTTATTTTGCAACATTTATAGCCCCTTCAATCCAAATGGACTCTGGTCATGGTACAGAAGCATTTATAAAGAAGAAACTACAAAGGACTAGCTAGCAATATTTAAATCAATTCAAGGGCTGAATGAGAGGCAGCTTGCTATAGTGATTAAGGCAGAGGTGGGAAACAATGGTCCATTTATGACTTATAGACTTCAACTCCCAGAATTCCTGAGCCGGGATGACTGGCTCAGGAATTCTGGGAGTTGAAGTCTATAAGTCATAAAAGAGCTGTTATTCCCCACCCCTGGATTAAAACATCAGGCTAGAGAAGCTGGGAGACTGTGAATTCTAGTCCCGCTTTAGACAGAAAGCCAGCTGACTGACTTTGGACCAGTCACTTTTTCTCAACCCCAGGAAAGACTCTAACTAACTGATGAAAAAAAGAGGAATGTCCACTGGAACAATACTGTTTTAACTAATTTACAAAATGCAAATAGGGAAAAAGGTACAGATATCTTGGAAGGAGAATAGTTCATAAAATGGGGTCTGACACTGAGAAGGTCTGTCATCCTATCAATAACCCATGTGCCTTATAAAGAGGGGGCAGATGGATAAAATTTGAAAAGTTAGCTCTAGTGAGTTTGTTCATACTAATTTGTTACTCCGAACACATAAACTATGGACAACTGTAGAGTGATATATTTTATTATTATTTTGTGCCACAGATCAGGACGACTGTACATCATTGGGTTGTGATCTCAATTCCCAATGCATTGCACATCAAAATGGGGCTATGTGTGAGTGCCAGAGAGGGTTCATCATGGAAGGTCAACTGTGCCATGGTAATTTTACATAACTGATTACAGAGTAATATTAATATAGTATATTTTTGCATGGATTTAATCTTGGGTTATCATTTTGAGATCAGGAATGTACGCCCTGGCACTATGCCGATGCCATCAAAAAGCATGCAAGCTATGATTAATAAGGAATACAACAAATATAAATTCAGGTTTAAACTTAGAGCTTTTAAAACTTTTTAAATATGCCTTCATTTTAGGTTTATCCTTTAGTTTAGAATAGATTATCCCTGACAGTCAGGCCAGTCAGCATTCGGAGGGCCAAGATCATATTTAAAATCAATATATAGTAGTTATCAATGTAATAAGTTCACTAAACAAATGCATTCATACACATAGTGAGTAAGGTTCACCTACAGCAGATTTGATTCATTGTATTTATATCCTGTCTTCTCAGCAGGAATTTAAGGCAGCATACATGATTCTCCCCAGTTCTCTTTTATCCTCCCAACCCTTTTGTGAGAAAGAATTTAATTAATTCTTTCAGCTATAGTCTCCCAGCTGTCAATACTTTTTTATCTTGTAGATGTTGATGAATGCCTTCTTAACAAAGAACAGTGCAATCAGAGCTGGTCCAGGTGTATCAATACTGAAGGAAGCTATGTCTGTGAGTGCCTTTTGGGTTATGATGAAGATGGGCTTCATTGTTCTGGTGAGTTATTAGGATGAAGGATATTCTTCTGGACATTTTGAATAATTTCTCCATCCTACATAGAGGGATTTTTATGCCAAGTTTCTAAATCTCTCTCTCTCTCTCTCTCTCTCTCTCTCTCTCTCTCTCTCTCTCTCTCTCTCTCTCTCTCCCTCCCTCCCTCCCTCCCTCCCTCTCTCTCTCTCTCATCATATAGATTATCATATTTATATGCTTCCCATTTCACAGAAACGTGACTCTGGGCACTGTATAATAAAACAATAAAAATAACGATTATAAAAAGTATTCTAAAATTAAAACAAATATTATTATACATTAGAAAAACAAAATGGATAGGGAGATCATAAAGGTTATACACAATGTAACTACCTCATTAGTTCCCCATTTCCATGAGACCTCAAATCCTGTTGACAAAAACAAGTTTAAGGGACTTTTGGAAGGATATCAAGGAAGGGGCTACTCTTACTTCAGGAAGTGGGGGGGGGAGATGAGGTTCCACATTATATTCTTTCCTTTAGTTTAGGGAAGCAGTTTCACACTGTGACCTGCTATGGGGAATAGTAGCAGAATAACTAATTTTCATTTAAATATCGATGTAAGTATTGATATGATAGAATGTAGTGAAAAGGTGTTGCCCAGAAGGGAAGGGAAACATTCCAGAGGAGTAAGAGGCAACTCAGCCCAGATCTTATGTGTCAAAGAACGAGGGTGAAGACAGCCTCTCCCTAAGAGTTCACAGAGTATGTTGTAGGTGCAGATGGTAGAGTGCTCAGTCAGGCAAGATTTTGTTTACAGGTGTGAAACATTAAAGAAGAGCTTGAAAGAACTGAGAAGGTGTCATTCAAGGAATTGCCTTAATGAGGTCATATAGTACTTTATATACAAAGTAGCTGGAGAATGAAATGTAACCTGCAGGTCATGGAATGCATATGCTCCCCCAGAGAATGTTAAATTATAGTAAAACAAACAAAAAAATCGGTTTTGTAGATATGACAGTAAAGAGATATTAAGCCTCTGATGGGCCTGGTAGTCTTATTTTATATTTTAAAATGTGTTCAAAATTCCAGATAGTTCTAGAGATATTGCATCAAGGCAACAACCACAGCTGACTTCAATATGTAAAACACACACACACACACACACAAAGCAGTTCTTGGCACTGAAAAGACTATATTCCCCTGTTAAAAGTTTTACTTGCTGACGCTGGATTTGCAAATTCTATAAGGTTGCTGGCATTATTTATCCCCTTCTTCCAGGCTCTCTGCATTCTAGGTGATGTTTAACATCATCAGTTCATCAATATGCAAAGCCTCTAGATGTCAGGATATGTTTTTTTCTTTTGTTATTTGGCAGCGTTAATGGAATGAATGACCCAATAGAGATTTATTGGAAATCATTACCTTGCCTATAAATAAAAGCGAGTATTGAGTCAGTCATAATACTCATCAAATAATTTTATGTTCATTAATAGTCATGAGATTCGAGTTGCTGACATTTCCAATAGAGTTCATTGAAAACTATGTTCACAATCAGATTCCCTGATCCACATAGCTAGAATGCAAAGGCTGACATTAAATCATAAGTTTACTGTCTAAGAGTATTGTTTGGAGATACGAAGGCAGCAATTTTTAGCAATTTGTCAGCTTATCCCAAACTGTACCAAGTCTGATGCAGATATGTGTATTTTGCAAATTGGCAATTAGACTTTGCAAATGCACATCCCTTTCTCTCCCATCTCCATTTAAATTCCCCCTTTCTTACTCTTGCTTACTCCATCAATATATCCTGATTTGTTGTTTTGCTGAAATAACAACCGAGGAGGAAAACCTTGGTTTATGGCTATTAGCGTGATAGTTACAAGCGTTTCCTCTTCTGGGAGACCAGTTGATGTCCTAGTTATCCATTATGAAATCTTATCCATCTGCTGGACTAGATGGAATCCAGTTTAGCAGGACACTGCTTATGTTCTTATGTTTTTCTAATTAAAATGCTAGCTACACAGTGGAAGAAAGTCATAGTATTGTATATGAACTGGGATGTTCTGTCATAGTATGGAGAGAAAAGGACCCTAATTTACATGTAATGCTTAGTAACAATCTTCTTTAGCTCCTCCTCAACTGCTATGGACCAAGTTTCTCTCTTTCTCTGTTTCTCCCTTCCTCCTCCCGCTTTACTTTGAGAATAGGCCTAGAATGGGCTGCTAATGAATAACCAGTCCAAAATCACTCAGTTTTTGAATGAGGACTTGCATTTTCCTTGCTAAATACAGCATCTCAGACACTGCATCATACTGGATCTCAAATAGTCATTATTAAGAAAGTGATATTATGCAGTGACTTTAAGTAACAAAGTCATAGGGAATTTCATATTTTGTATCCCAGTTCTGTTGGATTAAGATCTGTTAAGTAGACATTTCACTGTATCTGCCTTTATTTCTTCCAGCAGCTGATATTTACTGTTTTAAAAGTGGGAGAACCTACTCACATATCAAGTCATTCAAATTTGGCCCCAAGACTCAAACACATTAACCCCCTTCTCCTAAATTGTTTCAGAATCTGTCATCGCTCCTTCTGTTGTAACCAGGGATGACTCTACATTATCTGAAAAAGAAGTTCCTATGGACTGCCCACCATCATACTGTTTCCATGAGGGAGTTTGTGTTTATTTTTCAGATCTGCAGACTTTTGCATGCAAGTAAGTACTGAACTCCAATGTAATTCCATAGTTATTAATTCAGTTAGTGAAATAAAAGGCAAGTTAAATAGTGTTGCTAGGCATGTGAAATACATGTGTTTTATTTAGATCCCATGCATGCTTAATGCATGCATAATCTCTTGTCTTCACAATGATAACCTTGTAAGGTAATTTGGGATGAGAGAAAATATATGATCCTCACTTACCCAATGAGCTCTGTCATCAAGAAAGGAGCTTAGTTTTCACCAATCTAGTTTTAAGCATTTGGCCCAAGTCACTTACAGATCTAAAACCCGTGAGGATATAATGTTTGGATGAGGTATAGAAATATTTATTTCGCTTTACCTCACAAGATCTCTATGTGCATCAGCTCTAGTTTTGATATTTTTACACTGGGGCTTTTGTAGGGTATGGTTAAATAAAATCACGATGTTGACCACAGCGCTGGGATCTAAGCTCTGTCTATTTTTTATGAGGGTTACATGTACGATGCACGTAAAATCAAAGAGGAACTTCAATGGCACCATTGTGCCTGCCTTGTTAGCTTTTTAGACAACATCCCCTTCAGATACTTTTGACTGAGCAGGAAAGGTATGAGAGGGATTTTATTCTGCAGAACTCTCCTGCAGTTTTCTTGTAGATATTCTCACTCCATTTGAGAATATCCAAAGACGGACCTGGAAATTTGTAAAACATTTCAGCTTACTGTTCCAATTAAGATATTCCGTATCTTGCTCTTAGATGCCACATATCTATAGGACAGCCAGAGTTCGACTTCAACATTATTTTATACTTATTGTTCTTGTATATAGTTTTACATTAGGTGGCAGTGTTTCATCATTCATTAACACACACATTTCATTCCATCACCAATTGGGAGAAAACATTTTTGTTCCCATTTTCAAGACATATCAGAAGGCTTTATAGCTTACTTTAAAAATAAACATGCTTCTTATACATGCTTGTTGTAGCATAGCACATGGTCTCTCACTATTATAGTCTTTCACTATTACTTACTTAAGAGTCATACACTTTTTTGCAGCTCTCTGAGTGAGACGGGTTTGTAAAATTCAGTGAAAATAAGAATTGCTTTTTCATTCATTATGAGATCTCTACACAGTGCAATTCAGAATGAAGTTGGATTCAGTGAATGCCCTACAGAGGAGGAAAGGAAAATATTACTTCCAATCATTTACTATTTGTCTTTTAGTTCTCAAGTAAGCAAAGCTAACATTGTAAAATGTAGACCTGTTGACTATAGTCAAAATAAAGCAAACATTAAAGCCGTCATTCATTTAAATATTTTTAGAAGTCATGTCCTTGCAGTTCTCGGTTTGTTGCCTTCCTTATGGGCTACATTTCCCATAATTCCCATTTTTGCTGGTTGAAACATGGAAACTGTAATCCAAATATATCTGGGGGTAGTAGATTAAGGAAAAAAAGTAATATTGCCATATTTAATCTTGATGTCTGCAAATATATGGATCACAGTTCTCAGAATTCTGCATGCTAGTGGCTCATTTAATCGATCATTCTATACTGTATAAAGTAGGGGTCTTCAAACTTGGCCGCTTTAAGACTTGTGGACTTCAACTCCCAGAATTCTGGGAATTGAAGTCCACAAGTCTTAAAGCGGCCAAGTTTGAAGACCCCTGGTATAAAGCTATAAAGATGGAAACAAAGGTGATAGCATCCTCCATTGTTATTTTCAAAGCAGATGATATTTAAGTATGTTGCCTAGGATTTTGATGATAGTAAACAGCCTAACTAGCAGCCATGGGAACTTGATCTTTCCTGAATTTGTCCAAGGCATTTTAAAACAAAATGTGATGGCAGAAAAATTCTCAGTTTAATTCTCCAAGACGTTTTTTTTTTTAAATTCACTCAGTCCTGAATGTTTACTTTTAACATATGACCCATTCTATTGTTGTAATGCCATGTATTTCCATCAGATTTCATTTGGCCTGTAGCCTTCTAAACAAGTTGGTTGTCTTTTCTGCATATTTTGACTGCTTTTTCTTATGTGGTGACTAGAAATCACAATTTCCCAGAAAGACTGCACTTCACTGAGTGAAATCAGCCACTCCTGATAATTAACTTTGCCTTCTTTATTGGTTTGCTCATCAACAGCTGTGCGAAAGGCTACCTGGGAGACCGTTGTCAGTTTAGTGACTTGGAGTGGTGGGAAGAGCAACATGAGATGAAGATTAAAAAGCAAAACATCGCAACTGCTGCGTTCTTCGCTGGGCTGTTCTTGGTCCTGCTCTTTGGAGGGGGTGCCTTCTACTACTATAGGTAGAATTTATTTCCTGTTTATGATAATCCATTGTTATGTTGTTTGTGATCTTTATAAATTCTTTCATACATCATAAACCCAAGAGCATGGGTTTGTTTGCTCATTAATTTGACATTCATATACATTATTGGTCCTAATATACATTTATACTGATAAGGATGATGAGGCTGTTTTAATTTACGACTGCATATCCTACCGTGCTTGCCTTTTAAACATTTCTAGCAATATGCTTGAGGAATTTAAATGAGCATCTTTTGAAAGTTGAATTTCAACATATCATGTTTGCAGACATGTGGCCCTAAAGTCTTTTGGCTGAAACATACGTGAAGGTAAATGATGAGAGCACATTAACTATCCAAAACAAACTCTCCCTCTTTGGCACATGTGTTGTAATATCATATGCATATATGAAAAGGGAGAGCTTGTGTCACAATGTTACAATCCTGTTTTTGTTATTTTGATGAAAGTACTAGATCCTGCAGATGCACCTGCCCATTGGACATCTGAGACTCCAGCCAATGATTTTTTTTAAAGAATAGGTACAAATTGGATGCAAGAAATTGTGGAGAATTAGTAATAATAATAATAGTAGTAAAGTTGGAAGGGACCTTGAAGGTCATCTAGTCCAACCCCCTGCTCGGGCAGGAAACCCTACACCATTTCAGACAAATGGCTGTCCAGTCTCTTCTTAAAAACTTCCAGTGTTGGAGCATTTACTGCTTCTGGAGGCAGGCTGTTCCACTGATTAATTGTTCTCACTGTCAGGAAGTTTCTCCTTAGTTCTAGGTTGCTTCTCTCCTTGATTAGTTTCCACCCGTTGCTTCTTGTCCTGCCTTCAGGTGCTTTGGAAAATAGCTTAATTCCCTCTTCTTTATGGCAGCCCCTGAGATATTGGAAATTAGGAAAAGCCAGTATGCTTACCTTGAACTGGAGAGATTGTGGCTTCTCCTTGAATCATAGAAATGATAGGATAGAATTAGACAAAAAGTCCTAAATTACTAGACCTCCCACCATACCAAAACCTGCTAAAACCTCCATATCAAAAACAGAAAAGAAAAAAGAAAAAAGAAAAGAAAACTCAAGTGTAAGATGATTTCCTTGGAATTCCCACAAAAATTTTCTGGTGGCTGCACCCCATCTAAAATGCTCTCATATTTCATTCCCTAATTGTTGTAATTCTGTTAAAAGTGTAACAACAGGATGGATTTATCTTGACAATTCAACAGCATACAATGAGTGTGTGTTATCTACATTGGGAACAACACAACTTCTAAAGAAGCAAATTATTTTCCCAATATTTCTAATTCATGTCAGAAAGTTGGTGAATGTGTCATGCTTTTGAGAAACAAATGTAGAAAAAGGATGAGCTAGGGTGAAACTGAAACCAGACCTTCACTTGGCTATGTTTATACTTTAATGATGTATATAAATCTTCTCTGCCTATATGCAATTCTCAAAATATGAGTTAAGCACCTCTTCCTAGAAACAGGTAGAATTCAGTCATGTCCAATACATATGAAATATTTATATCTATTATCAATATTATTTGTATCCCACTATTCAGGCTAACACTTTTTCTGGCAATTTACAAGCAATATTGTGAATAAAACAATAAGTTCTTGGATGCTTCCTGAAATAGATAGTAATAATTCCCCTTTTGGATGTGAGCAGGGAAAAATGTCATCTTTTTCTCTCTTCTTCAATCATCCTTCCAACTGTTTAGCTGGTAATAACGGTGGGAGATCAGGTGAGGGAGGGACCAGCCAGCTGAGCAGATCTTGGTGGTCGTTGTTCCTGGGTTTCCTCTGGCTTTTAATCAATATGATGAGGGAAATACAAGAGAAAAATACTTCAGTTGAGAAAAGAATCATTTTTTTAAAAAAAGAAGGGCAGAGTTCATTGCAAAGAAGGCAGTAGCATCTTTTTTTCTTAGATCAATTTACACTAAGTAAGAATACACTGAAGGCAGAGCATTACTGTGCACTTTTTCTCACCTGCTGAAAAAAATAAACTATGAGGTTTGCAGATCTAATTTCTCAAAAGGAATAGCAAAAGCTTGGCTCAGGGCTCTTAATTGGTAATTAACAAAGGCAACTTTTAATCCCCTGCTTTATGTGCCCTGCTTATTCAGCTGTACAATCCCTAGCTACCTCTCCATTTAGTCTCTCTGCTTTCTTGGACTTACACAGATCATCTTGACTCTGTTTGCTGGGAAAATTTAATTTCAATTAAACTGATATCTGCCAAATTCTTTGTTGCAGCTGAATAAAATACTTGGGGGTAAGGGTGGTCTTTTTTTTTTTTTTTTGAGAATGTCTTCCTAATTGTATGTGTTAGACTGCTTCATGTGCCTTGTAGTTGGTGACAGGGAAACAACAGTAGGATGGCTTTTAATATATTGGCTCTATCACTGTATCTGTGTAATAGAGTAAGCATGCTCTTGAGCTCTGATTGTGACTTATTGGTGGTACCACTTACACGGCTTGCTGCAGGTGGTAGAGGCAGGGCTTTTTTTTCTCATAGAATGCCCAGAACGGAGTTCCAGCACCTTTTTTGGATGGAACCTTGAAGGGTAGGCAAGGTGGGTTGTATGACATGTGTGAGTTCCGGCACCTTTTTTTTTTTTTTTTTTAGAAAAAAAGCACTGGGTAGAGGTATGGGTAAAGCTGGTAACCTCGTCTATGCCCTATATTATTAAAAAGCTTTATGTAAAAATCTCATTTGACCAAACCCACAGTTAGTGCTGAAAGTGAATCTCTATAGGCCCATCTGTTGGTAAAATATGGAAGATTATGTCTCACAATTGATTTTTTTTTAGTGCTTGTCCTACGAGTTGCAGGATTTGCTTATCTTTGCACTGGGCTCACTTAGTTCTTACAGTGAAACTATCAGTACATGGTGTGACAAAGGATTTATTTATCAGCTGGCTTGTTACAGAGTGTAACACTGATTATAGTTGAGAGGGCTTGAGTGCCCAAAATAATCCAGCTGGATTCTGCTCTTAAGGAAGACTAGATTCTGGATTTCCCTGCTCTTTGTCCAGCTCTTTAATCACTTCAGAATGCTTACTGCCACAAAAACATGGTTGGTTTGATTGTCTATGATGAAAGCTTGAGAAAGTTAGTGAAAAATACCAGAGATAATTAATTGAAATGGGCAATAATTTGATAATGTCAAGAACAGATCTTGGAAAAATGGATGGGGGGGGGAAGGAAAAGTGAAAGAAATATGAATTATTGCAGGAAAAAAGCATGAAAATCTTTATGAAAATATATTGGAGAGATTAATCTTGCAACATTATGAATGGAAAGAGGACATAGAAGCTGCATGCAGCATAGTGAAAGAAAATTTTTTAGAGAGTGCCACAGTAATCTGTCGAGTTGCTTTAAAATTGAATTGAACAAAGATGCCAATGAAATGCATTATCATATCTAACTACAGATAAGATAAAAGTAGGACTTTGTATTATGTACAGAAGGAGAAGTAGAGCGAGAGTTAATTTATATAGAGCTGAATAATATAGAGAGGTGTGTGTATAGAAAAGAAGACAATTGTAATCAAAGACAGCAAGGAACAATCAAGATTAAAAGAGGCAGAGACAATACACAGCAATTTTGAAGGAAACAAGAGATGTTCTGGAAATAGGTGAAGGATAAAGAAAGAATCTCTAAAAGAGAAAATGCAATCAAAAATAAAAAGAATGTTTGAAAGGAATTCTGTTATATGTTGATTTAGAGAAGCACACAATAAGATGAATAGGTGTGAAGATTTCACAGGGGTGCAGTTTGAAAAAGCCAAGAGTTTAGCAGGAAGGAGATGTTAAAGTTAAGATCCTCAACATGATATCTATAGACATGGTGAAAGTATTGATGGGTTTGGAAGGACAGAAAGATATAGAATGAATGATGTTGGGGGAAACTATCTTACCTCATTTCTTCAGTTTTTTTGGTTTAAATTTCTTTTCCTGTGCTTGGTATAATGTTGCTTAGTCTTGAATGTGAATAGCCTAATGGATGTTCCGCATAACATCACATTTTTTTAAGCAACTGTTTTCTCAAAACTGTCTACCACATAAAATCTAGCATTCCTAACTATAACAGTCGTTTAGTTTTTATGTGTTTTAATTGAGTTGTTTATACCGGTTCTTTGTATGAGAAACTGCAGTCCCTGATTTTTTGAACTTATATACTTGCATGTTGACACATGCTGGATTTTATATTTTTATAATAAGGTCTACTAAACCAATGAGCCATCATCTGTCCAAAGTTACATCACCTCACATACAAGATGGTCTGAGAACCACCATTTCCAGAACATGCTCAAAGTATATATTATTTGTTTGAAAGCAATATTGTTTTAATTCACCTTCAGCTGGTATAAGAATGCTATATTAAATGTTGATTACAGTTTGCCGAGTCCTCAGTTCAGCTGAATGGTCATATGGATCATATATTTGAAATGTAGAGCCACCCAAAATGATGAAATTGTATAAAATTGTCACCAACACCATCACCATTATAAGAATACTCTGAATATTTGAAATTTAGGAACTCTGATTCATTCCACTATTCCTCTGTGTCCACTTCTATAAAAACATTCTATTATTATTTTTGTTTTGTCAGCCAAATGTAGACTGTACTATTCTATTATTATTCTATCATTATTATTATCATCATTATTATTGCTGTTGTTGTTGTTTATTTTCCCCTGATTTATTTTTCTCTTTCACCAAATAGTTTTGAGCAATATAACTGTTTATCTTGAAAGCAAGTTTTCAATTATATGCTCGGCTGGGTTTATATGACCACTATCAGCAGGCTAACTACATCAAAATGGAATCCCTGATCTAAATCCCCTTTTAACTAGAGTCCAGAAGCCAATATTTGAATTGGGATTGCTATTTCATTTTTACTCATACTCTGCTGTATTTTAAGACATATTGATTATGTTTTGGAAGCAGGTCAGTAAGAGGCCTTCGCTTCATCCATAAAACATGAACTCATATTGCTGTTTAAGAAGCTTGCAGATCTAAGAAAATACACTCGCAAAAATAAAAACATCATGGCCTGCAGGGATAAGACTTATAAAATACAAACAATATCTTCATGTTGCTGCTATATTCATGTACCAAAAAGTCTTGCTAATGGGACCTACAAATAAACAAATAAAGAAAATGATTTTTTTTTCTTCAGGGTGCTAGTCAGAGAGTCATACTGCAGCTTGTATAATGCCATTCACTTTCTTGAAGTAGAATCTGCCTATTCTATACCTTGGGGGGCATTGTATTGGAGGGGTACTTCATCAAAACGTGGTGTCTACTTATATATGGATGGTGTTTTTGATTCCATAGTACCCAATTATGTGCAGTATGTAAGGTATTTGAGACTATGGGATTCCCACTTGGACAGCGAGTTTGCTGTCAAAAAAAAATGTTAACTTTTGAATGGTGAGACTATTCTTGGGTGTAATCAGTAGTTATATGCAAAAAGTACACAATCAATACAATCCACTGTTAATATCCTAAGTGCTTTACTTATTATTTAAGCAATTTTATGACAATAATATAAAATTGGCTGCTCGCATACAATACATCTCATATCCAGTTAGTAATAGATTAGCAATAGCAACAACAAAAGGGATTTTTCCAATTTAAATTAAGCTGAAATGATGAAAGCTTAGAACAGGGAAGAGTGGATTTGAATGTGAAAGGATTATGAGCTTGGTTTAGTTTTGGAATGTAAATAAACTTTACTTAATAGCACTCTTGTTTTTAAATCTAACTGGAGATTGTTTGTGCTTGAGGGTCTAATAATCTGGAAAGTTTGAAGTCTATTTATTTTTATTGTGGAAGTGAATATTGATTATCTTGAAAAGTTGAAGCTGTGGGAAAGTTAATCAGTTAATTTTCCAGAGAAAATTATTAAGCTTCCAAAGAAATTGAAACTAAATTGTGGGTGAAGCAATGTGCACATTTTTGGCTAAGGGTTGCACCTTGCCTTTGAGCGACATGTCATAAGCTTGCATATCCATTACATATATAAAGTGGGTGTGAACATGGCAAAAGTAATTTTGAGTTTCTGATCTGAGTTTAAGTTTAAAAACAATATCAATAGTGCCATGCTTTTAAAACTTGAAAAAAACAGATCAGGGATAGATTGTCATGAAGAAAATCTATGTAGTGACTAGGAATTGAAAATAAGTTGACGGCACATAATCAATCAATCATTTAATATTTTCAACTTCTGACATATTAGTTAAAATTAAGTGCAACAATTAGGGATCACATACATTCCAGGGATCTGGTAAAGCACACCTGGGTGAGCATTTTCAGATAGATTAGTTGAAAGTTAAACAATTTCTGTTGGGTAAGGGCCACTGATAATTCATCCCTTCTCTACCCATGGGAAATAAACAAATTTTAATTTTCACATCTTTATGGAAGCAAAATGAATGTTAAATGTATCTGAGAATTGTAGGCTAGGGAACACTGAACTCAATCTCTCCATTTCTTTGTCTCCATGTCAATCTCATTATCCCTAGCTATGACCAGTAGTATAGCCACCTCCTTCTCCTCCAACAGGTATGTTGCAGAGTCATTGATCTACAATTCCTATAATTGCCATCTAGCAGATCAGGCCACCTTCTAGTTTGAGGAATACTGCAATAATAGTTTCAGCCTCAACTGCTAAAGATTAGTGTTACACCACAGGGGACAGATGTATTAGAATTCAGCTAACAAACAAATGGATATTTGAACTATATTTTATAACCATAAAATATTTGTCCACAGAGAATTTTATTCCTTGAATTTTTGTTTTCTTTTACAGGAGACAACAGAGATTTTCCAAGAGGGAACCATATGCGGAAGACAGAATAGCCGCTGACATGAGCTGCAGCAGCACCCTTACTAGCCTTAAAACCAAAGACATGAAGCTGCCAACTATTAAGCCTTCCATAATTCTATAGTAACAAAGAGTAATGCAAAACAAAGGAGAGATCAAAGGATAGCAGGAATCCACTTGAGATTATCCATCAAATACTTGATATATTAAATATATTAAATAACCACTGGGAGGGTTATCAAGTATTTTTCTATGGGCCCAAAGTTCTTCTTAGCTCATTGTTATGTGATCCTTCAAAGTTCACAGCTGCCTGAATGCATTGCAAGCAAGTGACAGTGTTATTGTTAGCTGTGCACAAACAGTTGGAGGGATATTCTAAATTAAAGAATGCCAACATGATGACATGACCGATTCACACTGCAGAGATGAAAATGCACTTTGTTTCTTAGAGACCACTGCTGGCTGGCTCTTCTTTCTGTGTTGAGGGACCTAGCGATGCTTAATGAAGTACAGAATCGCAGTCCAAGTTCTTGTAAGCTACTTATACATTTGGCCTGGAGGTGAAATGCTTTTGGATGTATTTGGGCAGCTGAACAGTGAAAGAAAGGAATGAGAAACTGGATCTCATGATCTCATTCATTGTACTTCACATGGATAAGAATTTTATTTCATTGAAAATAATAAATGGGACAATGCAGAATTAATCATCTAACAGAGTTGTGTTTCCTATTTGCATTTTTTCCTCTTTGTTACAAACTTAAGTGAAAAACCCAGCATGCAAACTTCTAAAACAAGAAAATGCATTAAAACCACAGCTATCCTTCTATTTCAGACTGCTCTAAATAAAGATGCCCTTAGCAGCAGTTGTTGCTACAATTAATCCCAGCATGTAATGTAATTTTCATTGAGTTTTAATGTTTATTAGGTAACTAAATATTGGGTTGAGTTGATTAAATCAAATCTTATTTAACCTTCAGTAACATTCTTTTCATTGTTTTTTTCTCCTCTTGATTGCTTTTGTGTAAAGATCAGTTTTGTGAAGTTATATACAACAATTAGTAGAATCCAAATTTATTTATTTGGTTTATTTCCTGCTGTTCTGTTTTGTTGAGTACTTGAAGTAGCTAACAAAATGTAAATAAAGTAAATATTAAAACTACAATCAAATAAATGCAAAACCATCTTAAAAATTAAAACCTGGTGAAAGAGAGACATCTGTGGAGTTCTTGGTGCTTTTTGAGTTTGCTTGCTTGCTTGCAGATATTTTATTACCCAAATAGATAACATCAGCACCACAAGTTAGGATGGGATTGCTACTGGTTTATATATAGTAGCTTGCCTGCCAGTTTTGGTAGAGGTGTGGTTTCCTGCTTGATGGTTCTTGATTAAAGTATTGTTTTATACATGATTGTTTGTCTGATATTGATCCTTGCTATCTGACTGTGCAATACTGGAGGGGATGTGTTCTTTTTGTTTCCTTCCTAGGGTTTTTTTTTTTTTTTTTGGTCTCTTGTGTATGATGTATAAATGTGTTTTATCTCTGTGTGCCTATTGGTGCCTGATTTGTCTGAATGCCAAGCTTCCAGGAATTCCTAGCATTTTTAGGTCTGCATTCATTCATTCGTTTTATCTGGCCATCAACTCACATGCAACTGTATGTCACAATCATTAAAATAAAAACTAGGTTAGAAAAAAACAAAATATATTGAACCTGGTGTAATAATAATTGAACTCAAAATACAGATAATCCTCAACTTACAATAGTTCATTTAGTGACCGTTCAAAGTTACAACAGCACTGGAAAAAGTGACTTATGACTGTTGTTCACACTTATGACCATTATTGCATTCTCATGGTCACCTGATCAAAATTCAGACGCTTGGTAACTGACTCATATTTATGACAGTTGCAGTGTTCTGGGTTCATGTGATCACCTTTTGCAACCTTCTGACAAGCAAAATCAATAACGAATCCAGATTCACTAACAACCATGTTACTAACTTAACAAGTGAAGTGATTCACTTAACAACTATAGCAAGAAGAGTCATAAAATGGGGCAACACTAACTTAATAACTGTCTTGCTTAGCAATGGAAATTTTGCACTCAATTGTGGTTGTAAGTCTACAACTACCTGTACATAAGCTGGCCTCTCCAATGATCTATTACAATGCATGGGTGAAGAACCAGGTCTTCAGTGTTCCATGGAAAGCCAACAAGACTGGGATTGTCCTAATCTCAATGGGTATGTTTTTTTTTCTATAGGGAAGATATTGTGACAGAGGAAATATCTTTCCTGCATCCCATAAGATGACACTGTTTAATTGAGAGGAAACAGAGTATGCCCACAAATATTATATGCTTTAATATTTGAATGTTTTTATGATGCTGTAGGTCATCCAGAGCTTCTCTGTAGTGAGATGGGAGACATATAACTAATAAAAATATTACATTATACTTAAGTGTATACTTATATTATGATTATGTAAGTTTTAATAAAAACTTTGAAATACTGTGAATCCCAATATAACATTTTAAAAGCCTTTCTTGTTCTACGTTTATGCATATATTGCTATGCATAAAAACAAAATTCACCACTTTTCTTCAAAGTATCTTTTACACATCATATCCCAGAAATCAGATGGCAGAACGTTTTTCTTAGCGGAAGCAAAAAAGACAGATAAAAATGTGTGAACTGCATTAATCAATTGAAATTATATATCACCAGAATTGAGGACTTTTTTTTTTTGTTCCGCTGAAACTAATCCAGCTGGGTAAAAACATTTTTTTTTCAAATTTTATTTATAATACAGTTAAAAACAAACAAACATTGGATTTAACGTGACAGTCCAGTATATACATTCTTATCAGATTATTCCACTTTTTACAATCAATTCTTCATCTCTACATATACATCTAAGTTTTATATACAATACTAGTTCTAAAATAACATATATTTCTATCTTAACATTCATCTTTAATCCCGACTATCCTCTTCAAATTCCTCCAGCGGTAAAATTTATCCCAGGTTTCATAATAAACTGATCCACATTTGTCTTTTAATATCATTGTGAGCCTGTCCATTTCTGCACATGCTAATATTTTATGTATTAACTCTTCCTCTGTGGGAATTTCCTTGCTCTTCCATTTTTTCACAAAAGCAAACCTAGCTGCAGTCAGGATGTGTAGCAGCAGTAGAATTGTCGTATTTTTCTGTTGTTATTCCCAACAAGAAGAGTTCAGGTTTTAACTCTAAGTCCAGTGTTAATATATCCCTCAACCAGTTTCGTGTCCCGTTCCAATACTCACAAGTCTTTGGGCATTCCCACCACATATGGTAATATGAATCTATTGCTGTTTTACATTTCCAGCATAGGGATGAGATGTTTGAATCCACTTTTGCTAGCCTTACAGGTGGAAAATGCCATCTATAAAACATCTTATAAAGATTTTCCTTATATGAGGTATCTAAGGTGAGTTTCCTATTCCTTTCCCACAGTTCTTGCCAAATATGCAGGTCGATACTGAAACCAAAATCCCTACTCCAAATTAACATGGTCTCCTTAACCTGTTCTTCATACATTGTCTGATCTAAAAGAAAATGATATATTTTTTAAATCATTTTATCCTCGGGACCTAATAAAATTTTTATCTAGTTCTGTCAGTTCTATCTTTATACCCCACTCTTTTTTATCTTGCCTATATCTTGCTTGTAGTTGGAGGTATGCCCACCATTCTAATTCTATCCCTGCATCTTGGAGATTCTTCTTCGATTTTAATTCTCCTCTCTCATCTAGTATGTTTTTATAGGTTATTACTTTCCCCAACTGAATAAACCTTGGGTGTATGTACATTTCTAGTGTTGAGATCCAATTGGGGACTTGCCTATAGTTCTGTTGTCAGATTTTGATCCCTGATGTAGTGCATCCGGAAGTACTAGTGAACTTTATGCTTCTCATCCCATAACATGGCATACCATCCAGTCTGCATGTCATGACCTTCCAGTTTTAATAATCTCCGATTTTCCAGTCGAATCCAATCCCGCACCCACAGTAGAATTGTAGATTGATAGTATTTTTCCAGATCGGTGAGGCCGAGACCCCCCCCCCTTTCCTTAGCATCCTGTAATAATTTTAATTTAATCCTTGGTTTGGGTAAAAACATTTGAAGTGGTATCAAATGACTGAAACGTTAATAGAAAGCAGTTAAGTAAACTTTTTTGGCAAACTATTTCCTCACTCAAAGAGAAGTATTAAGAAGTGTATTATGTATTTGCAGACAACACCAAGTGGCAGGAATAGCCAACACTCCAGAAGATAGGCTTAAAATACAGGAGGATCTGGACAGACTTGAACACTGGGTGCTATCTAACAAAATGAAATTCAATAGTGAAAAAAGTAAAGTTCTACATTTAGGCAAGAAAACCAAATGTATAGGTATAGTATAGGTGGTACCTTGCTCAATAATAGTAACTGTGAGAGGCATCTCGGAATCCTAGTGGACAATCACTTAAATACGAGCCAGCCAAAAAAGCCAACACAGTGCTAGGCTGCATTAACAGAGGGATAGAGGCAAGACAAGAAGCAACGGATGGAAACTAATCAAGGAGAGAAGCAACCTAGAACTAAGGAGAAACTTCCTGACAGTTAGAACAATTAACCAATGGAACAACCTGCCTCTAGAAGTGGTGAATACTCCAATACTGGAAGTTTTTAAGAAGAGACTGGACAGCCATTTGTCCAAAATGGTATAGGTCCCTTCCAACTTTATTATTATTATTATGATGATCATCGCAGAGTCAGCCAGATGTTCAGACTGGATTTGGCATTTTGTCTACCTATCAAGTCTTTACCAAGGACCTGGGATAGGCAGACGTGGATGTTGGATGGTATTACATATATCGTTGCAGGATGGAAGCACTTCCTAGTAAGGCCACCTTTTGCAATTGACTAATGGCAAATTTGTCAATGCCAATAGTGTTCAAGTGGTGCTCCAATTGCTTTGGGATTGCACCCAAGACGCCTATTACTATTGGTACTACTCTTGCTTGCTGCTTTTAGTAATAATAGTAATAATAATAATAATAGTAAAGTTGGAAGTTGTTCTGTCAGAAAATTTCTCCTTAGTTCTAGGTTGCTTCTCTACTTGCTTAGTTTCCACCCGTTGCTTCTTGTCCTGCCTGGGAAAATAGCTTGACACCCTCTTCTTTGTGGCATCCCCTGAGATATTGGAACACTGCTATCATGTCCCCCCCTCGTCCTTCTCTTCATTAAACTAGACATACCCAATTCCAGCAACCGTTCCTTATATACTTTAGCCTCCAGTCCCCTAATCATCTTTGTTACTCTTCTCTGTACTCTTTCTAGAGTCTCAACATCTTTTTTACATTGCGGTGACCAAAACTGGATGCAGTATTCCAAGCGTGGCCTTACCAAGGCATTGTAAAGTGGTATTAACACTTCATGTGATTTTGATTCTATCCCTCTGTTAATGCAGCCTAGCACTGCGTTGGCCTTTTTGGCAGCTGCAGCACACTGCTGGCTCATATTTAGGTGATTGTCCACTAGGACTCTGAGGTCTCTCTCACAGTTACTACTATTGAGCAAGGTACCCCCTATACTATACCTGTGCATTTGGTTTTTCTTGCCTAAATGTAGAACCTTGCTTTTTTCACCATTGAATTTCATTTTGTTAGATAGCGCCCAATGTTCAAGTCTGTCAAGCTCCTTCTGTATCTTAAGCCTATCTTCTAGAGTGTCGGTTATTCCTGCCAGCTTGGTGTTGTCTGCAAATTTGATGAGTTCCCCATCTATCCCCTTGTCCAAATCATTGATACAGATATTGAAGAGCACTGGGCCCAGAACAGAGCCCTGGGGCACCCCACTACACACTTCCCTCCATGTAGATGTGGTTCCATTGAGGACCACATGCTGAGTACAGCCGGTCAGCCAGCTACGGATTCATCTGGTGGTGGTGCTTTCTACCCCACATTTTTCTATCTTGTCAAGTAGTAGGCTGTGATCTACTTTATCAAATGTCTTACTGAAGTCCAAGTAAATTATGTCCACAGCATTCCTCTGATCCACTAATTTTGTCACTTGGTCAAAGAATGCAATAAGATTTGTCTGGCATGATCTATTTTTGATAAATCCATGTTGGCTTTTAGTAATGACTTTGTTTGCCTCTAGGTGTTCATTGATTCATTGTTTGATTATC